CCACAAGAAATCTCAAATAAAAGGGACGATTTTCCTGATCCTAAAGTCTTAACTTCATCCATGCAACATTTGTTGTTCTGTCTGTACACAGTTAAAGTAAAAGTCTGTGTGGAGCTAACCCTAGCCTGCTTCTATGTAGTCCAGGGCAGTGAGCTCAGTGAAAGCCTAACAATAAATCAGCTCTTTATCTCCGCTCTGGACGCCTTTCAGTGTAGATTTCATCTTGAGAAGTCTTTCTGCCAGTCCTCCAGTGAGAGTACATTTGATTGCTTGGCTTGGAGGGAAGAGTCCCAGGTCTCTTCTGAGAAACAGCCATTGTTCCCCTCTGTGGGAACCTTTCGTCATGTTTCAGTGTGTTAATTAAGTCGGCGGAGTGGAGACGGTTATTTAAAGACGGGACACAGTTAATCGGAGGCACGGTGATAATGTGAGGGTGCACGCGGGATTCACTGCGGCTCAAACCGGCTGAAGACATTTCACTTCCTCTGACATGATTTGCTTACAGCAGCTCCTCTCTGTTATCCACCAGGACTAAATATTACAGAAATCTGACATTTTATACTTAAAGAGCCCATATTCTGCCCTTTTTGGGGTTCTTATATTTCATCTATGTTCCTACTTTTGTACGTTCACAATAGATAAAGTTTTTAAAAAGTGTCTGTTTTCATGAACTGCTCCTCCTTGCTCCCTCTACGCTCTGAGTCCATCAGCTACACTCTGATGACCCCACACTGTTAGACCCCACGTGGGCCAAGTCTGCTCTGATTGGTCTGCAGATCCGCTCTGTCGTTATTGGTCAGTTGCTCAGCACGCGTCTCGAAAATTTCAACATGAGCTGCAGGGCCACAACGAGCCAATGGGCTTAGATCAGTGATCTCACACTGACTATGACATCACACTGACAAATTTTTATCGAGGGGGGCTAGAACCGAGCGGTACATGCAGCTAATGCTACAGCTAACAGGAGGAGGTAGGAGAAGCTGCGTTTCCGCGGACTTTGAATTTTTGCACATAGATGTGTCTAAACATGCACAGGACACTTGGAAAACACACTAAAGAGCAGATAAAACCAGAAGAAGAAGAATATGGGACCTTTTTAGTAAAAAAGAAAAACGAGTATACACTGGAACCCCGCTCTGTATTAATGCGTTGATAATTCTATCCATATTTACAAAACTGAAACAGGTCGAAAGATTTACAGAAGAATGCAGCGCCAATTCGAAAACACAACAGTCCAAAATAAATGCTCTCTTTCCTGACGCGGAGGCAGAGAAAAGAGACGGACAGGGAGAGACTCAAGCCAACAAAACATGTTAGAGCCTCTGAGTGAAACTGTGTGAACACAGAGCTCAGAACAACAACTCCAGAGGGAGTTTGACTTCACTCTCTTCTCATCACTCAATGAGATATTCATTTAGTTGGAATCGTTCAGAAATATTAGCCGACTGTTTACTGTGTGAAAAGTGAACCTGTGAGCAAAGAGTTTTGAAAGAACACTAGAGCCTCATGTTTACAAAGAACAGGAGTTTTCGACAGGAGTTTTAAGGTAAACAATTATTAAAAATATTGTAAATACATTCCGTTAATGTCTAGACTATTTCAGACAGGCTGCCCCTGAAATCTTCCTGCGTTAGTTATTTACACATAACCCCTCAGAGCAGGAGACTATCCCTGTTATAATTAATAACCAGCTCTTGGTTTTTTGTGGATTTCTATGATTGTTCAGAGCGGTTACAACCAGACAGTCAGAGCTTGTGTTTTCTTTTAATCAATCTACCTCCGGACCTCTTCATCCATGCAGTATCTGGATCCTGTCCAGCCCCTGCTGATCTCTGTATATGTGCACAGGTGGTTTCAGGTCACCTTTGGCATCAGTGCCTCTGTTCTCTGTCTCTATGTCAGTGTGTTCGCTCTGCACACACACACACACACACACACGCTTCATCAAATATAAAATGCTGAATTTTTTTTCCTATCTGCGTAATTCGAGCGCGTCTCTTTGAACTCTCCGTGTGCAGGTGAACTAAAACCAAACACAGGCAGTGACTCCACAGCCGCAGCTCTGCCAGACAGATATGGAAGCGTACCAACCCTCCCCACAGTATCGATCTGAACCCAAGATGAGCCTATCACCTCGGATCAATCGACCTGTTGTGTATATAACGAGTCTCATCTCTGCTCTGTCATGCAAGTTGTTGAGAAGTGTTGTGGAGAGTCTCTCTCTGCCGCCAACATTCAGGGCCTCGAGTCCGTCAATCATGGTCCCTGAAACAGTACAGTCACTGTGCTCGTAGGGGGGGGGTGATGGGGGTGATGGGGGTGATGGGGGTCCAGGTCTGTGTGGGCTCTGCTGCATTGTTCAGCTGCAAATCAGCATATCTGACCTCTCTTTTGCTGCGTTTAAAAAAAAAAAAAAAATACACATTATTTCTGCTCAATGTGACCCTAATGAGACGCCCTCATCTCTGTCTGTCTCATTCTACTTCATCGTTGTAACCTCCTGCTTTTTATTTGATACAGCTGTGTTCTGTTTGTGACGTATGCTCGCCTCTGTCTTCAGCTCGATTATCGTCTGACCGGATGGACGGAGGTCGTAAGGAACGATGAAGGGCTCAACAACTTCTTCCTCTGTCCCATGTAGCGTGTCCTCATGTTGTGTTTCAACCTGAAGTAACCAGGACGTGTAGTCCCTGGAACTACTTTTATAGACCTGGAAGGTTCTCAGAGGAGACGAGGGGTGGAACAAAATCTGGATACGGTAATATATCGTCATCCTGACTCGTGTGATTCGATGGGCATTTTGCCGGTTCCAAATAGAGATATTTAATTTAAAAAGGTGACGATCTGAAGAGATTGTCACCTCATGACTCCTCAAGGTGGCGCTTATGAGAAGAAAACAGTATCATGAAGTGAAGTTAAATGGTCCCGCCCCCGGGCCAGGGATTCTTTAGAAGTAAGTATTGTGTCCTGATCTTTAGGAAGACTCTGGTCTGTGGAGTTTCTCAAAGTCTTTGCCGAGTTTTAGAGAAGTCCTCTCCTCACATTGATTCATTTAACTCGCTCTTTGAACCGTCACAACATTAAACAGTCTGTGCACCTCGGTAATGCCTTCTTAAACGCCGTCACATGGATTCATAGCATCGCCATCATTAATCTCACTCTCAGCTCCACCTTTACGTCCTCCTCATTCATCACCACTTCCTGACACTGATGCTAAAGCTCTCTGCCGGAGTAAATATCGTTAAGGCCGGCCTCAATGCGAGCTTTATGTTTGTTTGTGCGGTGATATTTTGTGAAGCTTTTATTTTGAACATCGATCATTTTTTAATGACTCTGCCTTCATCACCCGCCGACTGCAGAGGTTCATTAACTCTGAGTAATGAAGAGAACATGGAGTTATGGTTTATTTGTGTTTTGGAACATTGCAGACGCTCTTAAAGCTTTAATATTTGCAGATTGACGTGACTCTAAAGCCGGCGTTCTTTATTTCTCTACTTTAAAAAAGCAAACTGAATGTTTCACTACGTGCTCTGCTCTCGTGTGCCACTTTACAACCCGACGTGTGAAGAGGGAAGCTGTGTATGTGTAGCACTTGTACATGTTCATTTGTCCATTAACACTCTTGATCTTAGTGTGAAGGCATTATGGGTGTTCCCCCCCCCCCCCCTCCCCCCCTCATCAAGTCTCTGGAAGTGCAGAAACACAGCAGACCAGTGAATAATGGATGTGCTGGGATCTGGGATGCTGTTTCTCTCACCTTCCTCTGATTCACAACGCTCCTTCATACTTCCACTTTCCTCACTTGGCACCGTTACAGATGTTTGATGGCTCACAGACGTTTCACACGGACGGTCATTGACAGTTTTTTAGTGAAATGTCGTGACAGCTGAGGGAGCCAAAAAAAATGTGGTCCAGACTTTCAATGCACCGCAGTAATGATGCAACTAGTGACTCATTTCCTAGTCTGATAGGAGATTCAAATTCAGACTTGTCCAAAGTTAAGAAAACATTCATAGCTGTCAAAATGTAGCGCAATTTATTTAACACAGCCAAACGCGGGATCGCAGGGTCAGTGGTCAGATTGGTTTGCAGAGTGTGGCTAACGTTAGCAAGTGCTAGCTGGTCTTTGGTCCTGTCTGCAGGTTCGCGTCCACATGTCTGTACAGTATGGGGTTTCACACTGCTACAGTTTAACCTGACACAGCATACAAACAACTTTATCTCCAGGTTTACGATCTACATCCTTTGCAATGCCATCCGTTCACTGTGCTTGTTTACATCCGGGTAGTAGAGAGAAGAAAGAAGCCCCATTGGCCTTAAACTCCTGCACGTTGTCTAAACTGCACAAATAGGGTGGTAACATTTTGTTAGCGAAACATTGCTGATGTATCTGTGCAGTTTAGACCAGGGGTTCCCAAACTTTTCAGGTCGTGACCCCCAAAATAAGGGTGACAGAACCTGGGGACCCCCCACTGTTCTTTAAGGTGGTTAGTTAGGTATAATGTAGCGACAGCCACGCACACACTGATAAACCTATCCAAAAACTAGGAACACAAAATGATACAACAATACACATAAATGTACACATTAATTTCATTTCACTTAATGATACTGTCTTATATGACATTATATGTACTTTTTGTATATTTACAAAAATGGGTAAAAATATATACTTATGCACTTTTAAGTGATTCTCTCGACCCCCCCCTCTTGGTGGCTGGCGACCTGGCTGGTATTCCTACAGCTTCATAATGCTTCATGGAATATCTCTTCTTCCTCTTTTTTTCCCGTCTATTTAAATCCACTGGTTCACAGATTTGCAGAGGTATAAGTATTTCTCACACGGGCTCAGATGGTATCTGTCTGTAGGTTTAGTGTATTTTGGCGTAACCAAAGAGTTCCATCCTCACTTAGTTAAGTTTTACAGCCCATTGTGAAGTTCTTTTGAAAAGGCCTTTAACTCAAATCTAACGTCTCTGAACTTCTCTTTCTCCGCACAGAGAGCAGCCCATCTTCAGTACACGGGCCCACGTCTTCCAGATCGACCCGTCTACCAAGAAGAACTGGGTTCCCACCAGTAAGCATGCGGTCACGGTGTCATACTTCTTCGACAGTACCAGGAATGTATACCGAATCATCAGTCTGGATGGATCCAAGGTCTGTTTTATCTTCCTCAGTAAAATGTTTGCGTTCAAGTGTATGTGCTGGGATGAGAAGTCTCACCCCCAAAGTCATCATCCCCTTAATATCTCCCGTGCAAATCAATCATATTTCACCTCCAGTCATGACAATAAATCCATATTGGATGCACATCAGTTTATCCCCCCCTCCACTCTCAGGTGGTCTCGCATGTTTGTGTCGCCCCCGGCCTCCCCGTGCTGAGCTGGGCGGTCGGGGCGAGTCGTATCTATGTGGCAGTGATTATTTTAGTCTGGAGAGAGGTGCAGGGGTGGAGTTAGCATACTTATGTAAGAGGCTGCTGCTGTTGTTGAACCAACAAGTTCTGCTGAAAATAGCAAAGATTGTTTTGGTTGGTGCTGGAGGACGTTATAATCAGACGACACACCGAGACATATTTCTCTCTCTGGCTGAGTGAAGTGAAAAAAACATGTGAGGAAAACTAGAGAAAAAGATATCTGAGATGAAAATGCTTATGACAGGAGAATCTTCTCAACCACTTTAAAGTAGTGACCCTTTGCTCTCACTTTTTGAGACAGATTTCTCCTCCTCTTACCTGCATGTCTTTTTAAATCAACCCCAAGTGAGAAACCTACACGCTGAAAATAGTGTTTTCATCGAGGTTTGGAACAAAGTACGAGACAGGTCGGCTCTGTCTTAAGACTTCTCTTTCAAGATATATGAAGAAGAAAAACTCTCAACCTCTCTCTGCCGTGTCTCAAACTGTTCTGAAGCTTTTTGAACTCTGAAAAGTCGGGAATGAAGTCGGTGAAATATAAGAAACTTCAATCTCTGTTTGTAAAGCATCGAGATGGCAAGAAGAGCACAAGCTTTCACATCTGTATGAGCATGTGACAAATGTGACACACACATGCATGTTAGTACACAGACTAACTGTTGTGACCCCCCCCCAACGTCTCTGTCACTACCTCCAAAGGAAAGTTTAAAGGAGTTTGTTTGAGATGAGCTGATATGACGAGTCTGCTATCAAAACAGGTATCGATATTGTTCGATTTGTACTTTTATCATATCAAAGTTTAAAATTCTGTTACTATGACAACCTAAATTCTAAAATGTGTGGGGGCGTTATGACGCTGCAACTCGCTCACACCGAAAAGTCTTCAGACCCCTGACATGTATATTAAATGTGGTGTCCACAAGGGGTCTCTCTTTCTCTGTTTGTGGGAATGTTCGCTGATAATAAGATAAGATAATCCTTTATTTATCCTACAATGGGGAAATTTACAGTGTTACAGCAGCAAAGAGCAAAGATTGCAGACAAAAAGTGAACAAGTAATCTGCTTCTGGGGAGTTCTTGGACTCCTCCAGTCAAATTATCAGTAATTTGTGTATTCTTAATATCTATCCTGATGATTTTTTACTTTCAAATAATGTCAAATATCTACTCAATGTTTGTTTCTTCAAAGAGCGAGCAATGCATCGTTTGGCCTCCAGGAAACAAACAACCTGTGGAGTCTCTCAGTGGTTGACTCTTTCTTGCTCTTGAGAGGATCAGCTGTTTCTCAAAAAATAAACTTGACAAGTTTTGGAAAGTATGGACTATTATTTACAACTTCCTGTGGGGTAATGACGTACAGAATGAGGTTTGGACGGATGAACAGATCTATTTATGCTTTACTATAAAAGACAATAAAGAGATGGTTTAAAAAAAAATGTTTTTTAAAAGTCTTCAGACGAAAAAAAACTAAACTAAAACAACCTGCTGATGAGAAGTGTGCAGTGCAGCTGAAACCTTCTGAATGTTGATGAAGTCGACTCTCGGTTTAGACCGGAGTTATTAAATCATCAGCCATTCTTTTTTTAAACCTTCATCTCCATCTGTGCTCGCCTCTCACCCAGCGATTCCTCCCACACGGATCGATAACAGTCAGCTGGACTCAGAACTCCTCTTTGACTGTTTCCTGTTTACCAACGAGTGGGAATACATGGGGATACAACACACACACACACACACACACACACAAAGCTCATCCAGTAGTTCCCAGTAGATATTAAGAATCCAGCTGCAGACTTCAGACCTTTTGGATTTGACATGATGTCGTCTGGTTTGTCCTCTGCAGGCCATTATCAACAGCACCATCACCCCCAACATGACGTTCACAAAGACGTCGCAGAAGTTTGGCCAGTGGGCCGACAGCCGTGCCAACACGGTGTACGGCCTCGGCTTCCCGTCAGAGAGCCACCTAGCCAAAGTAAGAGCACGCCGTTCACCAGCAACCAGAGACAAAACGTTCTCTGGGAAACATGTCGGAGCGCTGTGGGTTCACTTGTTCCTCTTGTTTTTTTTTTTAGTTTGCAGATAAATTTGTGGAGTTCAAGGAGGCGGCTCGGTTAGCGAAGGAGAAGTCTCAGGAGAAGATGGAGCTCACCAGCACGCCATCTCAGGTAACAGACTCCACCCACACCACCTCCGTCTTCAGGCTCATTTCTACACCTTCATCTGAGAAACATGAACCTTTAAAGACAGAACTTGAGGAACACTAACTTAAATCTGCAAAGGCATGATAATCTGAGGAGTTTTTTAGTGTTTAGTAAAAAAAAAAGTAATAAAGAAAAAAATCATTTTGGGAGGAAATGTCTTCATGGCACTCGTCATCCTCGTGTTTACAGAATCATGGACGTGTGTTTGGGTTTAAGATGAGTTGCAGGATGTAGTCGTGTAAATGAGACAGAGACGACTCAAAGTTTTGCTCCAAAGTTACTCTGTGGAGAAAAACAGCCGACTGAGAGGAGAAACTTTGACCTCCTTCTATAACCTCCACGCCCAGCTGGTGGTCATCAGGTGATCTCAATATCTCCTGAAACCTGTCACCGTGGAAAATTGTTATAATATTATTCTAATAATAAACAAAGCACTTGTTATAAATGTTAGGCCGCTCCTTGCTCAGGATATCGAAGTCTGACTTAAATATTATGTCCTCACCTGAAGAACACAAAAACCTCTCGTTTAAGTTTTAGTTTTGTTTGTTGTCACCAGACAGATTGAGGAGAGGGATGTGCTGCCACCGTCATCCACACTGTGATAAACCAACAGTTGTCACTGATTCTTCATGTGTCCCTAACACACATGAAGTGAAAACCTCTGTGACAAACTTCCTGTCAGTCTTGACGTTACGCTCTGACAGTGAGCCTTACGTTCTCATGGTAACCAAACAACAACACGACTTCAGTTGGAACCAAACTAGTCTCAGTTTGACAAACTTTTTAGTTTTTGAGTTTTGAGACATACAGATATATGTTCGACAGGCTCTTCAGTAAAATAAGAGTAGTTTTAAGTTAAAAAAACAAAAAGAAAAGGAGACAACTAGAAAGTTTGAAGAAACTACAGAGCTGCTGCAACAGAACACTTATTCAAAGAACATTATAAAATAAAGTTATCAGATGTTTTCCTGCTGCAGACGTTACAAACATTGAAGCGACTTCTCGTTTAAAGTAACTTTAACATAAACAAGCAGCTTAAAGATGAAGTTCTGCTGCTTGATCCAAACTGAAGACTGTTTGTGTTTCAGGATTTGTTTAAGAAAAAAAAAAGGTTTTATTCTGGATCCTCTCAGGACTTTAGTCGGCCATGTGTTACTGTTTATGTTTTCCATTCTGAATCTGTGTCATTAAGGTTTGTAACACATGAATGTACTGTTACTCTTGTAGTAGAAGTCTTTATATTTGAAGTTGTTTTGCTAAGCTAACTAAGCTAACACCCTGTGGCTTGTTTCACCTCCTCCGCTGACTCCTCCTCAGAGCGGCACAGTAAAAAGGAATCTGTTGTCAGTCATCAAACCGGTTTTAAAGAAGGTAAAAAAAAGAGAAAGAATCATTGTCATGTCTCCGATGGCCCCTCCCCCTCCCCCCCCTCGCCCGTCGTACCCTGACATCATGATTCACCTTCCCTCAGGTTTCTCTTGTGTGAGCACATGACTGTTTGAGACTCGTCCCTGAGTGTTCTTCCCTCTTAGAGAGAACCCTCATCATCATCATCATCATCATCATCTATGAAGAACCTGGTCTCACATCCTGGAGAGTCCAGAAGAGTCCAGACTGACGTCCTCTTCTCCTTCATGCTCTCAGAAAGGGGACAGACTGCTACGATCACACCTGACAAGGACTCTGTGTAGATAAATTAAAGAAGAAAAGGGGGGGGGTCAGAGTCACAGATCTGAAGTCCCTCGTTTAAACTCGTCCTTACAGGTCGTTAAAAGATTTCATGTAGAGTGTTAAATCTTTAAAGAAACATGAACTCAGAATGATCTCCTGTCGTTAGAGTCCACGTGTCAGAGCTGAAGGTCTCCTCCTGAACTCTGATCTGTAGTCCTGAACTCTGATCTGTAGTCCTGAACTCTGATCTGTAGTCCTGAACTCTGATCTGTAGTCCTGAACTCTGATCTGTAGTCCTGAACTCTGATCTGTAGTCCTGAACCTTTTTGAGAGCATTGACGTCCTGAACTTGTTTTTGTCGTCTTTCTGCTCAGCGTTTCTGGAAATGTCTTTGTTTAATTTTTGACTGGGGATCAAATGACGAGGCTGGTTCCACTCTTATGTCTGCACATTAAATATAAAGAGGTGGAAACATGAGGTGAGGTAACAGAGTCCACCTGAAACAGCGATTGGATCGATCAATCTCTGGCCAAGAAAGAGCAATGCTAACGTTTACCTCCAGTTTACAGCATATATGCTAAGATAAGCTAAGCTAAGCTAAGCTAACCCTAGCTTCTAGCCGTCGCTTCAGATTCAGCACACGGACATGAAAGAGGTACCGATCCTCTCGGTTAACTCTCAGCATCAAAGTAAAGAAACGTTTCCTCGTCAGCTGTTGAACTCTTGAACTGACTTTTTATCTTTGTGTCTCATCGTCCAATCAGGAGTCGGCTCCCGGGGATCTGCTGTCACCGATGACCCCGGAGAGCATCAACGGTACAGAAGAAGAGAGAGTCACGGTGGACGCACCTCCTCACAGCGAAGCCAGAGGGGAGCCTTCCCACAATGCATTGCCCTTCTCCCACAGGTACGCCCACATGAATCACCTCTCGTGGTCAGGATGACGCCGTGAAGCAGCTGCTGTCATTATTAATCTGCTTCTCCCCTCCGAGCGTGTTGAGCGCTTTAAAGCAGAACATGAAAACATTTCTTATACTGCCAGGTTTATTATAAACCAGCCAATGAGAGGGGCCCGTTTGTCGGCTGAGCTTCAGGGTGTAAATGCTATAAATGTCAGAAAGGTTAAACTGATGTCCTGCCGGGTTTCAACAGAAAACTTTAAAGTTTTCATTGTTGTCATCGTTAGTTGATTATTAATAATAATTTGAGGATCACCTGGTTGAGTTATTTAAGGAACCAAAGAGTCGATTATCTGCTCTGCAAATGTATTTATTTATTTTTTTGGCCGCACTAAAAAAGGCGGAGCGCTCAGAAGAAAGACGCTGGGCGCCGTGTTCTCTCGTTGGGCGCCGTGTTCTCTCGTTGGGCGCCGTGTTCTCTCGTTGGGCGCCGTGTTCTCTCGTTGGGCGCCGTGTTCTCTCGCTGGGCGCCGTGTTCTCTCGTTGGGCGCCGTGTTCTCTCGCTGGGCGCCGTGTTCTCTCGCTGGGCGCCGTGTTCTCTCGTTGGGCGCCGTGTTCTCTCGTTGGGCGCCGTCTGCTGCTGTAGACTCTCTACTCACTGAAAGAAGACGCTCAGAAAGAAAGCAACGCATGTAGTCCATATGAGGACGACAAGATAGCCACTCGACTGAAAGTAACTGAGCATGTACGGCAGGGGTGTCCAAAGTGCGGCCCGAGGGCCATTTGCGGCCCTTGAGGGGATTTTCTGTGGCCCGTGACTTCAGATGAAGAATCAGAAGATTTTGATTAAGATCGGCACATTATCTTATTTTTATTTTTCATGTTAACAAGCGCTGAACAATATTCCTAAAATAGAAAATGTTCAGGAACATGTATGTTGTTGTTTTTTTTAAATCTACAGCTTTTACTATTTTCCACATTTTTTTGTAAACTATGAAAAAAAGTTTTTGTAAACAAGTGGACTGTTGTTTAACCATTTAATGACCTGAGCTAAATGCAGAAAGCTTTTCTAAAAACATGAAGACTTGATTCTGAGGAAAAAACAAATAAAGTAGAACGAAGAAATCTAAATATTTGATTTCTTTTATTAAAGGGTTTCTTTAGCGAGCCTTTTCATTCTGATCTACAAAGCTTTACTATTTTAAAACTATATTTTAAAAAACAAAACCTGTGGCCCGCGAGCGATTCTAACACGACTATTTTGGCCCGCAAGAAAATAAGTTTGGACACCACTGGTGTACGAGCATCACTGCTTGATGCTCTGGAGAGAGATGATGCTTGTATATAGCGCCCTCTGCTGGTGACAGCCGGGAATAGAACTGCTACTTTAATTCAACACTACTCAAATGAAATGCTATTTGACAGTAAATCAGATAATCTAATCTATTGGTGCATATTGGAGATAAAATGAGAGTCTGATATCAGAACATTACGACTGATTAATCTGCTCTCATGAAAGAACACAGGACTTTAGAATGAAACAAAAAGCAGCGCCGGATAGCGTAGCGGTAATGCCAGGCGCCCCATTAATGGACTTTGCTGATGTCATCCCCCCCCCCCCTCTTCAGCTGTCGTCTCTGATAAAGACACAAAATGCCTCTAAAAAAACACAAAGACGACGCAGGACTTTGGAATTAAATAAAAAAGGCGGCAACATAAATCAGTGACGGCGTCTGAAAACTTTCTGAATGTTTTTATTTACAGACTCTTTTTCTTCACTTCCTGCTTCATCAGGAAGTTTGTTCTTCTCTAAAGCTCTCTTTCTCTCCTCCTCAGTTCGACCAGCATGAATAAGCACTGGGAGGCGGAGCTAGAGGCGCTGAAGGGGAACAACGCCAAGCTAACGGCGGCTCTGCTGGAATCCACGGCTAACGTGAAGCAGTGGAAGCAGCAGCTGTCGGCCTATCAGGAGGAGGCGGAGCGGCTTCACAAACGGGTATCAGCTCACAGGTCGAATGAAAACAGACGTGAGGACGTGTGTTTGTTGTTTACAGCGAGGTGATGGAGATGGTTTTTTGTGTCCCAGGTGACGGAGCTGGAGTGCGTGAGCGGCACGACGACCGTGATCAAATCCCAAAAGAGCGAGCTGAACCACACGATAGAGGAGCTGGAGCTCGCTCTGAAGGCCAAGGAGGAGGTACCCGGAGAGAGAGACAGAATCATTAGAAAGATCACTCATCTTAAACTCTGCTCATGAACTCTTTGTGTCTGCAGGAGCTGGAGAGACTGAAAGAGGAGGTGGTGAGTGCCAACGAGTTCCAGTCTCAAAGAGACTCGCTCACACACAAACTGAAGGTGAGTCCAACACCTGCAGCTCGTCTGCTTCACCTCCTCAAACCATCCAGCTTTTGTGTGATGTCATCTTCTTAAAGTCTTTTCTTACTGGTTTAACTATTTTTATCTTCTTTTACTTCTTACTGTCCTTTTATTTATGCTCTTATCTTAACTCCTCTTATGTTTTAACTTGGTCATTTTTTATCTTACTTACTTTGTCTATTTATCTTTTATATGTATATATACTTTTTATTTTTATTAATATTATTGTTTTTTTTTTGATAATTGATTCACTTGTTTCTATTTCTCTTCCTGCTCTTACCTTCTTATTGCTGTTCTCTTTTTATTTACTTTTATCTCTTTTAGTTTCTTACATCTTTTTAAATCTTTGGTTCCTCTTGGTCTCAGCTCGTGTTGTTGGGTTCTTATGATGGTTCTTGTGATGGTTCTTGTGATGGTTCTTGTGATGGTTCTTATGATGGTTCTTGTGATGGTTCTTATGATGGTTCTTGTGATGGTTCTTGTGTTGCCTGGGTTCTTATGATGGTTCTTGTGATGGTTCTTATGATGGTTCTTGTGATGGTTCTTGTTTTTCCTGGGTTCTTATGATGGTTCTTGTGATGGTTCTTGTGATGGTTCTTGTTTTTCCTGGGTTCTTATGATGGTTCTTGTGATGGTTCTTGTGATGGTTCTTATGATGGTTCTTGTGATGGTTCTTATGATGGTTCTTGTGTTGCCTGGGTTCTTGTGATGGTTCTTGTGATGGTTCTTGTTTTTCCTGGGTTCTTGTGATGGTTCTTGTGATGGTTCTTATGATGGTTCTTGTGATGGTTCTTGTTTTTCCTGGGTTCTTATGATGGTTCTTATGATGGTTCTTGTGATGGTTCTTGTGATGGTTCTTATGATGGTTCTTGTGATGGTTCTTGTTTTTCCTGGGTTCTTATGATGGTTCTTGTGATGGTTCTTGTGATGGTTCTTGTGATGGTTCTTATGATGGTTCTTGTGTTGCCTGGGTTCTTATGATGGTTCTTGTGATGGTTCTTGTTTTTCCTGGGTTCTTGTGATGGTTCTTGTGATGGTTCTTATGATGGTTCTTGTGATGGTTCTTGTTTTTCCTGGGTTCTTATGATGGTTCTTGTGATGGTTCTTGTGATGGTTCTTGTGATGGTTCTTATGATGGTTCTTGTGTTGCCTGGGTTCTTATGATGGTTCTTGTGATGGTTCTTGTTTTTCCTGGGTTCTTGTGATGGTTCTTATGATGGTTCTTGTGATGGTTCTTGTTTTTCCTGGGTTCTTATGATGGTTCTTGTGTTGCCTGGGTTCTTATGATGGTTCTTGTGATGGTTCTTGTTTTTCCTGGGTTCTTGTGATGGTTCTTATGATGGTTCTTGTGATGGTTCTTGTTTTTCCTGGGTTCTTATGATGGTTCTTGTGTTGCCTGGGTTCTTATGATGGTTCTTGTGATGGTTCTTGTGATGGTTCTTATGATGTCTGGGTTCTTATGATGGTTCTTGTGTTGTCTGGGTTCTTATGATGGTTCTTGTTTTTCCTGGGTTCTTATGATGGTTCTTGTGTTGTCTGGGTTCTTATGATGGTTCTTGTTTTTCCTGGGTTCTTATGATGGTTCTTATGATGTCTGGGTTCTTATGATGGTTCTTGTGTTGTCTGGGTTCTTATGATGGTTCTTGTTTTTCCTGGGTTCTTATGATGGTTCTTGTGTTGCCTGGGTTCTTATGATGGTTCTTATGATGGTTGTTGTGTTGTCTGGGTTCTTATGATGGTTCTTGTGATGGTTCTTATGATGGTTCTTGTGATGGTTCTTGTGATGGTTCTTGTGTTGCCTGGGTTTTTATGATGGTTCTTGTGATGGTTCTTATGATGGTTCTTATGATGGTTCTTGTGTTGGTTCTTGTGATGGTTCTTGTGATGGTTCTTGTGATGGTCCTTGTGATGGTTCTTGTGATGGTTCTTGTGTTGGTTCTTATGATGGACTTATGATGGTTCTTGTGATGGTTCTTGTGTTGGTTCTTATGATGGTTCTTGTGATGGTTCTTATGATGGTTCTTGTGATGGTTCTTGTGATGGTTCTTGTGTTGGTTCTTATGATGGTTCTTATGATGGTTCTTGTGATGGTTCTTATGATGGTTCTTATGATGGTTCTTGTGATGGTTCTTATGATGGTTCTTGTGATGGTTCTTATGATGGTTCTTATGATGGTTCTTGTGTTGGTTCTTATGATGGTTCTTGTGATGGTTCTTATGATGGTTCTTATGATGGTTCTTATAATGGTTCTTATGATGGTTCTTGTGATGGTCTGGTTCTATATGTCTGTTGTGTATCGTGCACTTTGGGTTCTTTTCTGTTGAATTGTATTTAATTATTTTTAGTATTTTGCATTTGTTATGTTCTTGTTGTTGTTTATGTTCTTCTGTGTTTGGTTTAGTTTGTTCTTGTTTTTGCTGTTTGTCAAAGCACTTTGTAAACCTGTGTTTTTAAATAAAGTTGTTATTATTATTATTATTATTATCCGTACATCCAGCCGTTAAAACACAATATATCACCGTTTATAAAGATGTGTTTCTTATCAGGTTAAAGTTGATAGCTGGCAGCTTCATCCTGAACTTCTGTAAGGATTCATTTGTTGATTTTAATTAGTTGAGTTTTATGTGGGACACACCTGAAACTCAAAAGCCTGGAGGTTAAAAAAACCACCACACACTAACACTCAGTGACACTAAAGAGGGGAGTGAGGCAGACTTCTGTGGAAACACAGACGCTGAAACAACAAGAGAAACCACTGAAAGAACCACAATGAGTCACTTAAGACCACGGGAGCCCAGGAGTTCTTATAAGCTCCTCACACCTGGTCTCAATCAGGGCCAATCAGACACACACACACACACCGACCCTGGTTTTCATTTTTTCCATCCTTGTGTGACGCTGGGATTTGAAACACTAACAAACTAAACGGGTCTGCCTCCTGAACATTTAAATAAAAAAAGATCTAAAGTGTCCGTTTTGTTTCAGGACTCTGAGTCAAGGAACCAGACGCTGGAGGGTCAGCTGAGCGAGCTGGAGCAGCGTCTGGAGAGCAGCCAGCAGGAGCAGGAAGCCTTCAGGACGAGTCTGCGCACGCTGCTGGAGCTGCTCGACGGCAAGATCTTTGAGCTGACCGAGCTGAGGGACACGCTCGCCAAACTGCTGGAGGGCAGCTAGAGACACACACACACACACACACACACACACACACACACACACACACACACACACACACACACACACACACACACACACACACACACACACACACACACACACACACGCCTGGCTCACACCTTCACCAACACGTAAGACCACTTGAATTCTTTTTTTTTTAAACCACGTGTAACCAAATGGACTTCATGCATCAGCAGCACACGTTTTTATGCTACGGATCACGTTTACAAACACGCCGCCGAGTGAAGGCGTTCGCTCGGACCATGCCTTCCCTCCGCTCTGCGCTGGAACCGCTCCGGCAACACGCTCCAAAAAAAAAAAAATCTGACTCGACTCTGATTTCTCTTTTCGTCTCTTGAATGTCTTTTTCCATTTGACGAGACTTTCAATTATTATTATTTTTTCTCAAATCTTTTTGCTTCTTTAACCACGAAGACTTTTCGTTTCTTCTCTTCGGTGCACTTCTCGGTCGCCCTCGAGTCGGCGATTGTTTGTTTCTTCTTCCTCGCGTCATCGTCAGCCAAATAAACACTCGAGAAGAACGCCAACGCTCTGAGATTTTCATTGGAACTCGAGTTTCGTTTCTCCAGTGACTGAATCCACCGATGAACTGCCAAATGTAGAAAAAAGAACGTCCTGATTCTTCTACGGTACATGAGCAATACGAAAAGGGAGAAAAAAAAAACACTTTTCACTCATTTTCAGGTAACTTTCCTCTCCCATGCTGAGGACACAAGCGAGGCGGGACTTTCTTTGGATACACTTTTTTTTTTTAAAGAATACTACGATGACGACTTGATAGTGCACTTGTAAAAAAAAAATGGCGTCTGTGTGTACGAGTGAATCTTTTCCATTCTTGTTTTGACTTGAAGTGCAATGATTGAATCCTGTTTTTCTTCTTTTTCTTAATTTATGACTTCACTGTTACTCAATCTGTGCTCGAGCAGAGATGTTTTATTGTCTGGTACGTGAGTGTTTAAGACGGTTTTGTTTCGTCTGCAATATTTTTTGAAGTATTTATGAGCGGACGTGAGAATATATTCGCAGGAAAGGATTTGAAGAGAATCGTCTTTTCTTTTGCCAAATAAAACTTCTCCTGTACAGAGTTGAATTCTGCAGATGTTGCCTTTGGTACAGAAATGCATCAATGGTAGCTACGTAGCGCTTTCTTTCTTTTGGTTGGATTTACAAATTGCCAAAAAACACAGCATGGTTAAGGAGGCGTGAGGTACGTACACCTGGAGAACACTACTTAAGGGCTTGTTGACGACACGTGTGGAAGACTTGAATGACTTTTATCACGGTGAAAATTATGAATATTTCAGATTGAAAGGGGACAATTATTTGGATGAGTCTTTTAAATGTTGATGATTATTATGACCACATGCTTCAAAATACAAATTGTAATTTTTGAGTTTATAGTAAAACAAAAACCAAATGGAAATCATGCTGCTGTGTCCGTTCTTCCAACGTCTGGTTTCATCTCGTCTGTGGTGCTGTGATTGTTTTTATGTCCACAAGACAACGCATCGACTTCAGAGAAAGAAGAACACAGGTCATATGGTAGAAGTTTCTGTTTCCCCTGATTGAGAATACACAAACAGCTCCTTTCACACCTGCACAAAAATCTTCAACAACAGGGAGTGTTCAAAAACAAACTGGTGCTTGATTTTATTTTGGAAAGGGTAAAATATATATATAACAGGGATATAGAAAGCCAAGAGGAATGTCATGATAAGGAAACAAAATAGCCAAAAAGAAAACCTTAAAAAGTACATGAACATTTGTACGCTTTAAAAATCATTTCAAATATGAAGTTTTTCAATAAATACTTCAATACATTTAGGCATGCGGATATAGTTTTCATGATTTACAATTTCATTACAGTAAAATAATTACTAAAATGACTTTTTCTTCTTAATTATTGCACTTACGTTGTGATGGGTTCGTCCTAAAACCAGTCACATGCATAAGGTCATAAAAGGTTAAACAAACGTCAGATTTGGTCATGTTAACGGCGAAAGTAAATCTACGCAGTTCAGATTCTACAAGTTAAACATTAAGGTAAAAAAAAAGAAAGAAGCACAATGGTATCTTAAACCCAAAACAAACAAAAGAAATAATAAGTGAGGGAGTAACTGTCCAAAATGTACGTTTAAACACGATCTGAAACTATGTTTAGTATCATCAAAGATCTTCACATGGACGAGAAACGGTTTGAGCTAAGCTGTCGATGATTTTAAACCTTAGTTAACATGTTTTCTAATCACAGCTGCGACTCCATGCTTTAAGGAAAAGGTTTACAGTTTGCAATCCTCTGCTGAGACTTAGACGAGAAGTTTGATACCACACATGTCCATACTGTAGATATGATGCTAGCAGTTAGCTTAGCATAAATGCTAAAGACAAGGGAGAATCTGACTTTCGTTTGCCGTTTTAAATCAGATAATTGTTCACATCTTCTCATCCAACTCTCAGCAACAAAATAAACAAACACTTTTCCAAAAGAGTCGAACTACTCCTTTAAATTTAGCCATCAGTGCATGACTTATAAAAAAAAATAGAAGGGTCAGTGTGAGTTTTCAGGTTTGACACAGTTAACATGTAATGAGAGACTCGTATAAAATCACACACACACACACACACAACAAACTCCAGTAAGTAAGGAACAAAAAAAGGCAGTGGAACGAGAGAGGACTCTCATAGATAAATGTAAAGATGTAAAAAATAAATACAGACGTCATAAGATCTGAATGTTGTCAGTTTGTGGAGAGCAGAAGGCTGCGTCAGTAACCAGCAGAGGGCGATAAAGCATCAGACTTTAATCTCGTCGACAGACTATAAATATTCTGGCTTTGTTAAACATTTATTTTTTAAAATATTTTGAATGGGGGCATGACCTAAAGACCCCGTAACATACATTCAAACTGTTTATGATAAATAACTTTGCAGGTTATTTTTGATTAAGCGGTTAGTCTAGAAAATAGTGAACAATTCCCCAAAAGATGTATTTGATGTGTTTTTCCTTAATCTAAAAGGTCCCAAAACCAAACATAGTCATGTAGCGATAAATAAAACATTTTTTTAAAAAGGAGTCATCATCATACTGGAAACAGTTTTAACAGTTAAATGATGTGTAAAGCAACAATATGTAGGAATTTGGCGCCCACCGAAGGTCTCAGACTGCAATTGCGTTCTGACAAAAAGAGGGCGCAAAGATGGTAAAGACGCGAGAGGCCAAAGACCCACGTCCACTGACGACATTCAGTAATATTAACGGATTTTGAGCTCATCTGACTACTGAAACCTGAGACATGCCTCGGGTTAGACGACTTTCTGCAGCCGGTAAAGCTGCTAAACACGAGACAACGATACAAGCTAAGGTTACGTCTCAGTTTGTTCTGCATCTTTCTCTGTTCTTAGCTTCACCCGTCAGCGTCCCTGTCCGCTTCCTCTTCCTCTTAGCCGTCGTATCAAACAGTACAGAGACGAGCTAACTGGCTGCTTTGTAGCTGAAGGCTGCTGAGTGAACTAGTCACATAAAGACCTGCGCACCTCATGACATCACAAAGCTACATGGTGCTGAAAACAGGTGACTGAGCGCTCTGTGGACACGAGAGACACCGCTCTCCCTGTTGAATGTTATAGTTCTCGTAGATCGACTTTGAGGCGACTGTTTTTAGGACGACAAGTTACAGATTGTTGCTTTAAACCGTTGAAGATTGAATTTTCTTGTGATGTTTGAAGTATCGAGAAGGTGGTTTAACGGTGATGTAACATAAATAAATGGAGGGTGACCACGACAGCAAACATCACAACATTATATTCATCCATCCATCTGAAGAGTCAAAGCACATTCAGCCAATCACAGACAAGACGATGTTCAAGTAATGGCTCATATATAAACGTGTGCTGAAGTATAAACAGTACGTGTGTAAGTATATTTATATCTTTTTGAAATACTGACGCGGTCAAAAAGGCGTCCTGCGAGGAAAAAAAAGATCAAACGATGGTCTGAAAAACGACAGCTGTTCGTGAGTTAACATCTCCAGTGTTTGTTTTTTCAGGTTTATTTATAATTCTTTGGAAATAGTTGCGTTAGCTTAAGCGTTAGCATTAAGCTCACAGGGATCCCGTCTGAGATGAGACAGCTGTGACGGAGCAGGTTCAGACGTTTGTTTTCAGATTTCTGGTCCGGCTGTGCGGAGCTCCTTTTAAATCCCGTCTGGGCTGCGAGGAAACCGTTTTTATTTGGATCATATCCGAACATAGACTCTCTCTTCTAAACTGCTGCATCATGCATCTCTACATCATCTACTTCTAAGTCATATCTCTATAAACATCGATGGCTTTCACTCCTATTACAAAGTCGATCAAATCAGTGAGTTCTGAAACGTTTGGTTTTCTGGTTTTGACGACATCCTGATCACAGACGAATTAGTTATGAGCACTTCCTGTTAGCCGTGTATCCATGGAGACGTACAGCAAACATCATTGGATGACTTTGATGTTTGACTCCACCAGCTTCACCACCGTTATGTTTAAAAAGGTGGTGCCCCCCAGACCGGTCTGCATCGCTAAGTCTCCCAGCATGCTTTGCACAGGAAGCAGCGATTGCAATAAAACCGTGAATGAAAGAGGGAGAGTTTGCGTTCAGCGGGTGATGGTGGCGGTGGCTTCACTTACGGCGTATCCCGTATACTCTTAAATAATGCAGCGCCGTAACTCTGTTCTATTCTAGCATATCGATCATTAAGGTGTTAAAAGTGCGTCTTAGACATTGAGTTTTCTGGTAAATTAAAAACTCTTCCTCTCGTTATATTTTTCTCTTTAAAGGTTCTATATGTGACTTTTTATTTATAAATCGTTTTTTATCGCCCATTAAGCGAACGGTTAACTGATGTGAAGTAGATATAAAATGTTTCCCCAAGCTCCAGGGACATTTTACTGCACGCACGCACGCACGCACGCACGCACGCACGCACAGTCTGTAAACATTATGCCGGTAAATATCCAGTGTTTGGCAGCCGATGATGATGCTCGTTTGTGGACGCGAGGGAGAGCAAGCAACAGGTAACTGGTGCAGTTCACCTAACGGCCATGCGGTGTCGCTACAAACGCAGTATTTTTTTTTTAAAGTTACATATAACCACTTTAAGTATTTATCTGTTTTTTTTAAATCTGTTGAAAAGTGACGACGCTCAAACATGGCTGATGTGTGGACTCTTACTTTTTGCATACAGTCAGACTCAAATATGAAATATGGAATTTTCTTCATTGAAGGACAAAGTGGGAGGCGGCCTATTCTTCACACATGTTCAGATGCACTGGAGCACGGCGTACCCATCGCCGTGACACGGTTAAAGTCCTCCAGCGCGTGCACAGAAGAGTTTCAGCGGGAGACGAAAAAGCAGAAACACTCACGTCCTAAAAACAAACCCATCACAGCACGCTACAGTACGACTGACGTGTAGACCGACGTAATGAGAGGTTAGAGGTTGTATCCTCGCCACGAATGCCACAGCAATGACATGAAAAAAAAAAAAAGATTAGTGGTCCATCTTTACAAACACACAGAAGTATTTCAAAATAAAACAAAAAAATACTTCTGAGCAGTTTCAGATATAAAAAAAAAAAAAAAAAGGTCTTTGTTCAATCTTTCTTTTCGCTTCGGCGCCACAAATCCTCCAAAAGGTGAGCGTTTTTAAAAAAAGAAACTAGTTTTCCCAGTCAGTGCAGGGGAGGCCCTCGTCTTCAGACTCGGACTCGGGTGAAGCCTCTTTGATTCTCCGCAGGGCCTCGTGGATGCTGCGGGTCAGAGCGTCAGCAGAGTGGTGGTAGCTCTTGGCGTGACGCTGCTGCTCCGGTCGGGTCCGCACCTTCCTCAGCCGGACGCCCTGACGGATCTGGGCCAGGATGTTGTCACCGTCGTCGTCCGGGTCCGGGGCCAGGACTCGCAGCTCGGCCTTCCTCAGGTGGAAACTCCCCCGTTTGAGGGAGGCGAGGACCTCGTCCATCGGGGAGCCCGCTGCGGACACACAAACGACAGAAAGTTAAAAACAAAACTTTATAAAATGTTAAAACAGTTCTTCAGGGATAAAGGTGTAGTCCCCTATTTAAGCAAACACTCATTAACATGAGTCACATTAACAGCTGGCTTCACAACATGAGCTCGGCTAATTCTTAGATTTTGGAAAGAATCAAGAACTCTGACACTGAAAATGTGGAAAGAAGAAATGATGACAATAACTGCTTGTGAAAATATGCTTGGCAAGCTGAACTGGAAAAATGACATTTGTAAGGAGCAATGGGACAATTGTAGCCAGTTTATATGAGGAGAACAACACATCAGTGCCAGGGTGTGGATTGACTTTTGTTTGTAAGCACATGTCATATTCCCTCCTTCTGGTGATGCACTGTTGATACTTTCTGCATCATTGTATCTAATTTCTGTCATCCATTTATTGTCGTTTATGTTTTGTTGTTCCCTTTTAGTCTGTTTGTTTTTATAATTGTTTTCTATTATAATGTTGTTATAAAATCAATAAATTATAAAAAATACAAATAAAAAAGTTCAGTTACTTTAGGTAAAAACACAAGAGCCCGAGTCCTCTTGGTGTGTTTCTTTGAACTTTTCAGAGGGGGGTTGTTGACGTCGGCGCTCTTATGATGTATGATAGACCGGTAAAGATTTCAGCCTGAAACTTTGTCCACAGGGGGCGCCAGAGTGACATGACATGAGTTACTAACAGGAGCTTTGTAACTACATCAAATACTTTTTATGTTTTATAATGAATAGGTTTTTTGAGTTTCCTTCTCACCCCTCCTCCACGATGAAGAGTCAAGCGAGGCGGTCTTCTTCAGCTTCTTCCTCGCCGTCAGCAGCTGACTGCTGTCGAAGAATCGAGGGGAAAACGGAGCCAAAGGCAGAGAGGAAGGTTCTGACTCGCGAGGATGGAGCTGCACCGGGCTCTCTGAGGGATTCTTCTCACCCGGATTGTCCTCTAATGAAGGAGGCGGAGGAGGAGGGGGAGGGGGAGGAGGAGGAGGGGGGGACCCAGTGATAAAACAGATGGGGTCGCTGAGAGGGGAGGGAGAGAGAGGAAGGGAGGGGAGGAGTCCAGACTTCGTAGCTGAACGGTGGGTAGAGACTCGCAGGCGCAGGAGTCAGATGGAGGAGGAGCCGAGAGTTCTGGGAGGTCGGAGTCGAAGACCTCGGTCTGGACGCTGGTCGTCTGAGTGCTGGGCTGCTGAGCGCCTCTCCTCCGGCAGTGAGGCTGAGCCAGACGCAGCCGACTGGACTTCAGAGTCACCTGACCGGGATAACGCTGAGGAGGAGTCGACAAGGACCATGAGTACACACACACACACACACACACACACACACACACACACACACACACACACACACACACACACACACACACACACACACACACACACACACACACACACACACACACACACACACACACACACACACACACACACACACACACACACACACACACACACACACACACACACACACACACACACACACACACACACACACACACACACACACACACACACACACACCTACCTGTTTGAGGCTGCGCAGTCTATCCAGAGTCCTCTGCCTCTCCTGACTCACTCTGGCGTTACTCTTGGCTTCATCTTCCTCGCCGTCCGCTCCCTTTACACAAAAGAAAATCTGAATTAGTAACAACTTAAGGATGGTGTAGTGACTATCTAATGTCCACATTTCACAAGTTTTAGTCACTTGTGTAGGTGTATGAAAGTTCTAAATGTCCAAAATGAAAGTACTTTCTGATGTTCCAGTTTATTGTCACGTATGAAGCAGATAAACTGTGAGGATGATGTGATGAGTTGTTATTTCTCAGATTATACTGTTGGTTGTCGTTCTTTTGATGTGTTAAATAGCCTACGTGCATTATGTTGTGTTACGGTAACAACCGATGTTCCCACCACCTACGCCCCCGTTTCCTGTTCACCTGTGACATATAAACACTCAACCAACCACCTGACCAATTAACGCAATTGATCAGTTATCACCACCTAGTGTCCAAATTGAGTACATAAATAAACATAAAAACAAAACCCATTGAAATACAATACATAAACACACACACACTGAATTGGCTCCTACAGATGGTCTTCAGGTTCTGTGAAACACTAAACTGGTTTTGTTGTATTCAGGTAGAAGATCTGTGAACTTAACAACCATACCCCAAAGAAAATGATGGAGGTCTTCTGGGATACCAAGTGGACTGTTTTTTAGGGGGCATGAAAGCAAAGCACTGAACACTGAAACTCCTTTTTTCTTTTTTTCTTTTTTGGAGTGATAAGGTGAACAAAATGAAACAAGAATATATAGACATGACAACTAAAGCGAGAACAAATAAACAAAGACAAAATAATAATAAAATAAAACTGACAAAAAAGATACAAAAAATAGCAAAACATAAGCAAAGATACAGACTAAATACATTTAAATGAGATGAAAGTCAAGCAATGATTTTTATGTTCAGGTGTGTTAGAAAAGTGTGAATGTGTTCGTGGCAGCGTGATGCATTAAAGTGCAAAACTTAGTGAGAAAACAAACAAAAATATAAATAAATGAAAAATTAGTGAGAGAAGAAAAATGGTATATATGCATGTAAACATTAATGGAAAGAAGATAAAATTATATAAATTTAATCATGTACCATCATAAATGCGATGGTAATATATTTAAATATATATATATATATATATATATATATATAAATAAATACACATCGACACGTACACATGTACATCCATAGGTGCACGCTGAAACTCCTGACAGAACAAGCGAGTGACACTAAAGCTAAATCGTCTCTTTAGACACAGCCGAGGATCTGTAATTATTGAGTCTTACCTGTTGCAGGGAATGCAGAGAATCACCGTCAGCTTGTCTCTGCTGAATCTTGTGGTTGTGATTTACAACACAGATTTCCTGATGAAGACAAAACGCTCATGAGTGAAGCTGATCTTAAGATTCTCTCTCTGGAGACCACGTGTCCTGACGGCGAGCGTGCGTACCTTCTTGTTTTTGAGGTAGACTTTCTTGGCGGTGATGCGTCCTCTTCGGGCCTCGAGCTGCCGCGTCCTCTGCTGCAGGACGCAGAGTTCTTCTTCTCTGAGGGGGGATGGCGGGGCGGCGGGGTCCTCTTCACCCTTCATGGCATCGGGACTCTCGAAGGCATCGTAGTACACGACTTCATCCTGTCGCTCTGGACGACAAATCAGAGAAGATGATAACGCTGCACCAAGGAGAGAGTCTCTCTCTCTCTCTCTCTCTCTCTCTCTCTCTCTCTGCTCACCTGTCATCTGTCTGCGTAGACTCTGCAGCTGAGCGGTGAGCAGCAGCTCTTCACAGCGCAGCACCTCCGCCTGGATGTCATACAGCTGCAGCTGTAACTCGTAGTACAGCGCCTCCAGCTGGTCCAGACGCAGCATTGCATCCTCACCATCCTGCAGACTCTGCATCTACAACACATACAGACAGACATCACATTAGTCTTCTCCTGCTGCAGACCAAAGTGTTGTTGACTGTTTGAAGCACTGTTCCTGTTTCCTCTGAGTCCTGACAGTTTTGTATTTGAACATGTAAACTAAGTGTTTGACCCCGACAGTCCTTCCCAGTGAGTCATCAGGATGTTATTCTCTCCATTACAGGATGTTTGAGCCATGAGCTCACTTTTCAAACTCGCCCATTATCTCCTTTTTTCTCCCTCCTCTGTCATCTCGTCTGCGTGTCAGTGTGGTTATCAGAGTGTGTCTCTTTACCTCCTCCTTCAGGCCGTGTTTCCTCTGCTCCAGGCAGATTTCCTTCGCCCTCATCAGCTGCAGAGTCTCTTTGGACACGGCGTACTGAAGCCGCTCCATACGCTCAACCGCCGCCGCCCACGCTGACTTTCCATACTTCCTCTGGTCGGCACGCATCCGCTCGTACAGAGCTGCAACACACATTCACACGACTGTCAGCAATGTGAAAGTTTTCTATTTCTTTATCCTTAACATCTTCAGGGTTTGGACGGTGGGCCCAACAAGACATCTGAAGACCCCATCTTTGAGAAACATTTTGATATTTTTCCACTGTTTTCATGTTTTGAACAATTTATCGTCTAATCAAACTTTGTTAGTTGGTTTTCAGAATGTTTTGACTTAAACTTTCAGAGAAACGAGGCAGGTTTCTCATCTAAGCAGAAATCAGGTAACATGTTTCCTGGTAGCTCATAACCGAGATGTTTTTCAGGATTAAAAGACTTTTCTAAGAAAGGGGGCCTTTGGTATGTGCGAAGCTGCAGAAGTCTGGTTTCATCTCTAGGTGACATGTCAGCTGCTGTTAAGTTCAAAGGTCACAGCTGAATAACAAAAAGCAGCAGCTTTAAATCTGAGAGGAAATGCCTCCTCGGTGTGTTTACCTTTCTGTCCGCGGGTCGTGGTTTCAAAGAACTTGACAGTCAGGTCCTGAATGGAGAGCACGGCGGCCTGAGCTTTCTTCTGCCACTCCTCGTCCTCTTTCCTCAGGCCGTCCACACGACGGGGACCCAGGCGCTCCGTCTCCAGAGAGATCTGAAGGAGGGCGGAGAAACTTGTTAGTGTGACCCTTTGACCTTTTTTTTTTCTAAGATTTATTTTTGGGCTTTTTGTGCCTTTAATGGAGAGATAGGAGAGTGATAGAGTCAGAGAGAGAGAGAGAGAGAGAGAGAGAGAGAGAGAGAGAGAGAGAGAGAGAGAGCCACAGGTAGGAACTCGAACCTGCGCCAACCTCCAGTCCCTGCAGTACCCATTTTGAACACTAGATGTCAGAGCTACACATTGCTCCTCTAAGTCTTCCTGTTGACGACACACCAGATTACTTTGGAAATGAATGAGGTAATTTGAAAGCAAGCTTTTAAAAACATGACTGTTAAACTGTTAAAGATAAAGGTTATCTTCACAGCAGTGTCACCTCTCCACTCACATTAGACTGAGTATCATGATGCTGTAATGAAGAGTCACCGGGTTTCAAAGTAACTGTGGAGTATGATACATAACCTCTCCGTCTTACACAAATCTCTGCACAGTCTTTAAACTCCCTGGTAAATAAACACTGCTCTGTAATACCAGCAGCTGGCAGCAGATGGCAGTAATGATGAATCTGACCACAGGCATGTCTGTGCATGTTTATGATTAGAGTGACACTAACCCAGTGTCCTACTGAGCAGCTGGAACAATAAAGACAGAAAAAGATCTCTTCACAACAAAACAAAGAAAAGTCTGAATACAAACGAGGAAGGTGTTGCTTTTTTTTTTTTTTTTTTTTAAACGTGGCACAAAAATCACACATCGACCTTTTATCACAGTCCACTGGCTCGTGTTAGGCCATGTGAAAAAATAAAGTGAGAAACAGGGAAAAGCTCTGCCACGTGGAGTCTGAACCCCCGACCCCCCCCCCCCCTCCTCCTCGCAGAAAAAGACCACATGGAACAAAATGTACACACATACACATTAACTCTCAGCAGGGCCGCTCCACTCACCGGCTTATTAATATGTGGATGTGAAACAGATGTGTGGAGGTGCTCAAATGTAAACAAGAACAATTACCAACAAACCTCAGAGGACCTGATTTATGTTAGCAGGCATATTCAAAGCATTGTATTGTCTTTGTGTGTGTGTGTGTGTGTGTGTGTGTGTGTTACAGTAAGAGTGTGATGCAGTGTGTCTGCACGTGATGGAAAAGAACAGGGAGTGGTTTTGGGGTGAAACTGGGAGCACACAAGGGAGGAGAGATTACGTCAGACGCCAGAGAGGAAAAAGTCTGACAGAAAAGAGGAGGAATGAAAGAAAACAGAGAAGTGGAAAAACAAGAAGCTGCCACCTCCATGTGAACACAACATAAGCAGCGTCTAAACTTTGACCCCCCACAGAGACGACTGACAGCGGCAGAGATCATGTCACTCTGTCTGTGTGACGTTTAAAAACATCTGTTGTTGTTAGTTTTGTTCCAGCTGACCTCTCTGACTCAGCCCCCCCCGATTGTCCCTCTGTGAGACTGTAGTGATGAGTCGGTCGCCAACAAGCTCTTTAATGTGAACAGTGGGAAACGCTCTATCCGAGAAACACATTTACCTGGCTGACCAGTCACTCAGGCTTTGTCACTTAATATTTACAGTCTACTCTTTTTCCCCTTCTGTTGTTATTGAAAAAGCAACAGAGTAAAGAGATGACCTTTGCGCCACGCTGCTCGCCACAGACCCTCATGATGCTGCTTGGTGGTAGAACAACATTCATGTTTAACATATTAAGGTTCCTGTCAGGCCCGTATGATGTCTGGGTTAATTATGTTGGTGAAGTTTTTAGGTCGGGTACAATCATGCCCGCTTCCATCGCTGTAACACCTGTTGGTTTGACCTGATAACTGCTCTCATATCTGGCAAACCGAGGGGCGTCCAAAACGGCCGTGTGGGGTCTCTCTCTCTCTCTCTCTACAATATCTTTGTGACACCTTTAAAGGTTCATATTGCCACTTACTGTGATTGTTTGTGTGGTGAATGATATCAGATCAGTCAATGGCTGATGCTTTGTGCAAGAGGAATAAGAGATCATCTTATCGGCCAATCAGAGCAAAGACAATGTCAATATTTACCTTTAAAGCCTTTATGAGCCGATACAGAAGACTGGCTGCTTTGTTTGAATCCTCATTGAAAGAGTCAGTGTTAAGCTTTGTTCACTCCGACCTCTTCACTACAGCTCGGTTAATAAACTCTGTCACATCTGGTGTGAATAAATGAACATCCAGACACTCTTCACACGCAGCATGTCAGCAAACAGGACTTCAACACGTGGCTCTTCTTATCGTCCTGAACTTTAATTACAAAGAGACGGCAGCATTTGCTCTCTGTGTCAGCTCACACCTGTAAGTGTTTCCCTCATGAATAAAAACAACAACACAGATTGTAGGTAAAACATTTCACACCGGTTAGTAGCTGTTGTCTTCAGGTGAGCTGGCAGCGTGCTCTGTGTGATACTAAAAGCAGACAGGACGCAGCGGGGGGGGGGGGGTCGTTCCTCCTTTAACACCTCTGGACGACAGCTGCTGGTGACAAAACGCAGACGTGTCAGTCTCACTCAAGATAGAAAGTGACGCCATGTTCTCGTGGTTATCTCACTTGGTTAAAATAGCAACTTAATAAAAAATGCTGAGTGCGTGACAGAGGGGGAGATACCAGGCAGACAGACTGTGAAGGAGGGAAGGATGTAACTTCAGTTTTTACTACAAATGTAAAAGTTCAGTTCAGAGACAGTTCAGAGCACTGGTTTGTTTACATCAGGGTCACAGCAAGGGCCAGATTGACTTCTCACTGCCAGGGGGCCAAATTGTAGAATACAAAAAACGATTACAGTCGATAATATCGCAAATTTAACTCAACATATACCAGTGATCAAATATCATTCTGGACGTATTTCTTGCTTTCAGGATTTCATGGCAGATTTTATCATGTTTTTTTCATTTGTTTCAAATTAACTGATTTGTAAAAATTGACCTGAGGGCCACGTTGAGGGTTGATGGGGGGCTGCATCTGGCCCCCGGGCCGCCAGTTGCCCACCCCTGCTTTACATTCTCAGCGGACAGAAGGAACACACAAGAGTTACAGGTCGTCCCGTTTGGATCATGAGTCCAGACGACAACATATTGCCCGGTGGATATTTTCTGTCTTCAGTTAAAGACATGTTGGTGCCACTGATTGTTGGTGAACAGATTTCCTGTCCCATGGCCTTCGTACAAGGGAGGTTACAATCCTACAAGCAGACGGCCCGGGTTCAAGTCTGAGTTTACTTTCCCTTTACTTCTGATGTTTTATATACCCAACATCTTCTGGATTTCAGGTCATAATGGACAGAAAAAACAGCTGAAAACAAACGAGACTCGCAGCTCTAATCTGACCTTTTTAATCTTCATAATGCTTTTCAATATTTAGCTCATCTCTTGACTTTCATTCTGGTCTTTGATCTTCCTACTTTGGATATGATGCTGAGTGATGTTTTCAGAATTTGTGTAGAATTTGCATCCCAGCTGGGGGTAAACACAGCGGCCATGACAACCGTTGCTATGTGACGATGCAGCTGATGTGAAACAGTAACTGGAGCTCAGCGTGCCACAAAAGGTATCTCGGACACATTGCGGAGGAACCACATGATTAATACATGGCTGCCCTTTGACCTCCAGGTAACAGAACACCCGCAGTGCAGCGCTTCGGTGCAGCAACGATCCACCCCGACAACGAGCCGCTCGCTGAAAACACTCCACACCTTTTGTTTGTCGCTTCATTCAGGTGAGCTTTCATTCACTGCTCCACCTGCTCGCTCATTCAGAGGAATCCAACAATCAGCTCAACAGGAGGGGGGGGAACGGAACAGCCAAGTGTTAAAAATGGCCGCCACCGTGACAAGGCGATTCATCCTGAACTACTTTTCATAATCAAACTGAACAACAACTGCTCTGAGTCTGAATTCAATAAATAAGGAAAGTTATTTAAACGAGCGATGGGTTGCACTCCCCTGGATGGAGGCCTGCGTGTAATGCCAATACTTTAACACAAATGTGACGCAGTCAGATGAAGCTCCAGCTCGCCATCAGCTTCCTGCAGATCAACTGATGCAAATCTAGAACGTTTATTTACACACAGGCAAATATCGTTTTTCAAAGTGATTCTAAAAATCTAGATCATTTCAGGAGGACTGCTCTGGCTGTTCTCCTGCACCCCATGAATGGAGGCCCTTCAAGCGGACGACCCAGGTTTGAATCCGACCTGTGGCTCCTTCCCTGCATCTCACTCCCCTCTCTCTCTCTTTGTTTTCTGACTCTATCCACCGTCCTGTCTCCAAAATAAAAAGCGTAAAAAGCCCAAAATTAAAAAATCCAACAAGCAGCTTTGTGCCCCACAGAACTGGGACGGGTTAAGTTCAGAGGATTTCAAGACTTTCTCTCCACAGGTCGGTAAACTGTGAGCTGGTTCTTCCCCCCCTGCAGGAAAGTGCATTAAGCCGGATTATCTTGAGACGTAAGCGTATTGTTTGAGTATCACAAATGTTTCCTGCGATCCAGAAAGACTTCAGTTATGTTGACAGAAATAAGTTAGAAAAGTTTATACTGAACTAAAGAAATCTTTTCTGTGACTGTAAAGACTTCTCAGTGCCACAACTTTAAAATATGACAAATTTTAAAAAGAGACATATTTTCTCCTCCTAACCCCACAAAGTTTTCCTCTCAACATGCCTTTCACCGTTCGACGCCTCTGGTCGACATGACTGAATCTTAATTCTGGTTCATTATAAGAGTCTGGCTCAGAGCGTGAAGCACTGTGGCGGCTTCACAACCTCACACGTGTGAATCACACTCAGATGAAGACGGGGAAGTCAGTCATTGTAGCATGAAACTGACACTCTGCTGCTCATCACCTTAGCGTCAACAATAGGATGCAAACTGTTTGTAAATTACAGTCTCCTCCTCCTCCCCCACTTTCCTAACAAAAGGAGAGAAAGAGTCTCCGGGATCTGCTGACTCATCAGTTTTTGGGAGAAACCAACCGCCTCTGCCTGGATCCCGGATCCATTTGCATACAGCTTTGTTTTTAGCCGTTGGATCATGGCCCTGAGGGCAGCAGGTGGTGGAGCTCAAACTTTTGGCTTCATGCAGTTAGAGAGTTCAGATTCTCAGGATAAAAAACTGGATTCAGGGTGAGGAGGAGGTACACCTCAAGTCTCCAGGTAAAACTGAAGACTGGAACCGTACACATTTTCTGCCCTCAATGTTCGGCTTCACTTCACATTTGTCTGAGATGATCTGAGGGAAGTGGGAAGTAAAATCAGGCAAAATGAAAACCATCAGCTTGTAAGAAAGTTTAACCTTATATTTTATGAGTTATGTAGATTTAGCAGCAGAATGGCTGATTGCTGATTTTAGTCACCGTCCGTAACTTGTTTAAAATACTTCCAGCAGAGTGAGGCAGCTGACAGCAGGTTGGAGCTTTTTTATCTTAGTGGACATGTCGAGCTGTTCCTGAGAGGATGCGTTATCAAATAAATTAAAGTGACAGAACATCCCGTCGGATAGAGCAGTAAAAGATGTTAGCCAAGTTCCTTTTTTTAAGTTTTGTCTTTTATTCTTAGAATAACTTCTAAACAACTTGTAAACGTGCACAGATTCAATTCTGCAACAGATTTTGAGATGTAGAGTTATCCTCATACATCATACTGGTGACTGTGACTCAGCGGTCGGTTGTCCCCTAACCAGAAGGTCGGAGGTTCAATCCCCAGCTCCTGCAGGCACACGTCCGATGTGTTCTTGGGCAAGACACTTAACCCCAAGTTGCTCCCGCTACTTTATCATCTGTGTATGAATGGATGAGTTACTTCTGATGGACTCTTTACCCAGCAGCCTCTACCATCAGTGTGGAATGTGTAGGTGTGACCTGTGGTGTAAAAGTGCTTTAAGTAGTCAGAAGACTAGAAAATAAATATACAAGCTCAAGTCCTTTTACCATTCCTGTATCTCTGTCTTTATTTAAAAAACAAAATCTGTTTAATAAAAATAAAGTCTGGTAAATCGTTTTCAATTGTTTCAAATGGGAAGGAGCCCGGCGACAAGAGATCATGTCTAACCTACTACAGTAAGAGGAGGGCGGAGGGCGGAGCTTGACAAAGGATGACTTCCTGGTGTGGGCGGCTTGACAAACATGTCCCAGCTGCAGCCCCTTAAATAATGTAATAACAAAAGAATGAATAATCTCCTGAAACAGCTGGACATTGTAGTTTTTTTTAGAATCTCATGAGCATCTACTGTAGTTGTTTGGGGACTATTTTTAGCTGCGGATTAATCCTCATGCAGCACTCTATAAGTATTTTACAGCAGCAGGATGACGTGTGTGTGTGAGCTTCACTGAAAATGAACTACAGTGTGTGCGTTCATGTTAAAGCAGAAACATGTCAGCCGGTGCAACAGTGCTGCTCATTGATGTGTTTTTTTTTTTATTAAACAAAGGAGCGCTCCAGCTCAGAGGATAAAGTTCCTGCACGTCAACCTTTGCACACACGATAATCTTTAGTATCAATTCATTGATTCAAAGACCGTAACAAAACTCTTCTGCATCATCAAAAAAAAGTGCTCCATAAATTTCTGTGAGTACGCTCATGGACCCAAATACCATCATAATGCACGCTCATTAACACACGCCCACGCAGACGCTTGTGTTGGTTAGTGACACGACGCTGGGTGAGGAATGCAGTTTAGAAAAAGGGAGAGTAGTCACAACACAAGAGAGGGTGAAAACTGAGAGTCTATGAGAGAGAAGAGGGCGAGATGGAAACCGCACGTGTCTGGTTTAAACGCCACTAACTGCTGTGTGACATCATGTTAAATCAGGCACAGGTTGCATAGTTTAGTCTAATTCAATAACCCCCCCCCCCCCCCGAGCATGTTGGCTGACAGCACACACAGACTTTGGAGGAGTTTACTCTCTTTCTGTGTTTCTCTGTTGGACGAGTTATTTTTGGCTCTGTTCTCTAACATTCTCTCTTCTGTTTATATTTTTAGACCGGCTGGATTGGACTCAGAGTCTTGTGCAGTTACATGGAACAGACACACCTGTATGTGCTGGATTTTTAAAGCGCAGAGGCCTCGCCTGAAATCACTCCCTTTTGAACCATGCCAGGATCCTATATATTTAGGGCCCTTCAGTCAGTGCAGGCTTAACAACGTTGTCCAATTTATGCTCTCCTGAGAAATGTTTTCCAGCTCCTCCGGGGGATCCCGAGCCCAATCCAAAGCAGACACTCCTTCATGGAGCAGAAACTCACCTCTGACACTGAAGCTTCAGTGTTTCTCCAGCTCTGCATGGGTCTGTAAACCTTTCTGTGTTCTAACCTCTCTCCATTTTTCAAAAGCATCTCCAATATTGATCCTAGTTTGAGCACGTTTCTGCTCGTGGAGCTTATTAGAAACATGCAGAGGCTTTTTAGGTCGGGTACAATCACTTCTATCTGAACCACTTCTCTTGACCTCTTCCATCACTGCAACACCTGTTGACCTGATAACTGCTCTCATATCTGACAAACAGAGGGGCGTCCAAAACGGCCGTGTGTGGGCGTGTCTTAAAAGCGCCTACCTTCTCTGGTCCAAACAAATCCAGAGCATTCAGGAGCAGAATCTAAAGTTAGAAGGAGGACATACTGGCTGCTGCATTGTTGTCAGAGAAGCCAGCACTTCAACATAGCATGTTTCCTTAATGATCAGAGAGTAAGATACCTTTATCATCTCACTCTACACAGCTCACTGAATGCTACTTTAATAAAAACCGTTGTCAACATGAATTTCCACCTTTGATTTCTTGCTGTATCGTTTCATTTAATGATGTTGAATTAATTATTTAAATCTGCTGTTGAATTTCAGGACTATCAAATGATCAGATCAGATATAAGTCGGGTGACCTACTGACCCAAAGAGTCATGAGAGACTTCTTAATTAATTGTGTTATTAATGCCACGAGACACAATAGATCAGTCTGTGAATTACTTCCTTTTTTTCTGAGGCATCGAATGAACTGATAAGAACAAAGATGGAGAGTAGAGAACAGAGGAGTGTGCTGAGGCTGCAGAATTACTGGGTGGTTTAGTGGCTGCTGTAATAATACTTATGCTGGTTGTTAAGCCGATCTGGGCCGGGGGGAAAAGCCTCTCTGGCTGATCCTCTGCCCTTCACAACCCCTGAATGCAAAGCTACAGGTAGCACAGACGGGCTACTACACCAGCATCATCCCATGTACCCTCTGTAACAAACGCTAATGTCATTACAGCGGGCTTAGGAGCGTGGGCTCATACGAGGACATCACCGTGCGGTGGTTCAAGGCTCGTTTCCCAGCACCAACCTCGGCTTTTAAAAACCTCAAACCAGAAAAAAATGGCTGCTGGAGTACGAGCGTGTTCCAGGACGGACCAGATATCCGTTTACAGTGTGGTCTAAACCTCTTTAAATCAAACCCCAAAACAGATGGGACTTGTTACTGTGTGTGTGTGTGTGTGTGTGTGTGTGTGTGTGTGTGTGTGTGTGTGTGTGTGTGTGTGTGTGTGTGTGTGTGTGTGTGTGTGTGTGTGTGTGTGTATTACCTTAATCTGCTGTCTGCGCAGCATGGCCAGCTCCCTCATGTCCCTGAAAGGCTGCAGCAGGTAGTGGTAGAGCTGAGTGGTCGCCTCCAGCAGCTCTCCGTACGCCTCGTCCTCCTCGGGGTACACCTGCAGCAGCTCCACCATGCTGTCCATGGCTTTGTGTTTGTCCAACACCTGGAAAGAAACGTGCAGAGGAAAGATGTAGCAGGGACACTGGTGCGACATATATTTCATATCGACATGAAAGGACAACTTTGTACCATTTTAACATTTAGCTGAAATCAATGAAAGTAGATAAAGGCCGACCGCTAAAGTCGACTAAAAGTTCTTATTAGTCGACCAACAGAATACTTTTTGAGGGTGCTTATTTATGAGTTTCCCTTCAGAGCAGGGCTTTTGTTTTGGTTGTTGATTGGTTTCTAACACTGGTCAATATTGAAAAATACAGACACATTAGCGACCCCTAACTGTGAGCTAGCTAGCTTCTCGACCCTTTGCCCGCTCAGAAGAGACATAAAGATGTGATAGTTCAGGGTGCGAAGGGCTTAGCGGTTGGGTCGCGCCCCCTTGTACGGAGGCTTTGGCCCTAGCCAGCCTCTGGGGTCAAAGTTCAGGTCCAGCCTGTGGGTTTCCCTGGTTTCCTGCTCTATCCACTGTCCTTTTGAATAAAAGGCAAAAAAGCACCAAAAGAAATATCTAAAAATATATTTAATCAAATGCAAAACGCCCCAGATGGCAGGATGAGTCATCAGCAGTTTGAAAGTTTTAAAATGATGACAAATTCAAAAAAACACCATGAAGAACATTTACAACATAACTTTTTTTTTGTCCTTTTCATGGTTCAATTCTGATGCGGCGCCGTGACAAGGCTGCGCCGCCGTCATTCAAAGTGATTCCATAACGTCGCGGCAGCAGGAGCTCCACATACACACAGTCAGACATGCACACACACACAGTCAGACATGCACACACACACATACACACACACACAGCGCTGTGTTCACCCACTGACATCGTTGATCCCAACTCACCTCTTAGAACACCTCTATCATGGACGAAAATCTCGCCTTGAAACAGCGGTCTGAAAATCCTGTCCTTGTGGGGCATTTAAAGTGTTAATGATATAAATATTATATAAAAATATAAAGTATGTCACCATTACTCTTCCCACTGAGTATGAAATGACTTACTTTATAATCCTCCTCTCCAGAAGGTTCATGCATCTGAACCAAAACAGCCTCGTTAATAACGTTCATTATGTGTGAAGCGAGCTTTGCTAAATTCTTTGGAACAACTTGTTTTTGAAGCGGGCGTAATTCGGACTAATTCATGTTAACAATGAGTCCCAAACAAAAGCTCGCTCAAAGCTCAGGAGGGGAAAAAATAACAAGCCTAATCTATAAAAGTGAGCGAGAGCAGGTACAGCAGTGTGTGTGTGTGTGTGTGTGTGTGTGAGCTCAGGTAGATAACATATAATTTACAGTTTTTTAGTGCAGTACACAGAGAAGGAGGTGGCTCCAGCAGACGCTGATTCACGCCATATGTCCGGCCGTGCACAGACTCGTCATTGTTCAGCAGATAAACGCTATCAAAACAGCTATTGTACACACAAATACAATTCCTCTCCCGGCTCTCAGAAACCAGCATCTCCAATTCAAACAGCACAATACTCCTCCTTCACTCCCGCCTCAGATAATATTGAAATGTTCCTCCACCCAATCTTCATCCCCAGCACTGAATAAAGTGCTCTTCTCTCCGCAAGACGCCGTAGATATGAATAGAGACTCTTATATTAACTCCCGGGCTGATTTTTTCCAAAGCCCTTCACGTCGGGGCAGACACTGCACGATTCAGCTCGGAGACACTGCTCCTTCTGTTCACCTTGAGCCCCTGTCTCTGTGGTAACCACTGGCCGACCGTACACCGACTCTCTGCGCCTGTAGACGCTGCTGGACAGGAAACCCCTCGAGGCTAAATGAGCCGGTCCTGCCTGGTATCTAACAATCCAAACTGTAGATCAGATACTGGACTGACATCTACAAGGATTGTCTTGATACTAGAATGTATAACTTCTAAACTATGAGACTACCTCAAATCAAACTGTACTGGTACTAGGAGTGTGCGACATATATCGTTAATATCATAATTGTTGTTCAATGATGTGCAAAATGAGAAAATATTGAGTATGTCACACCTGTTCACTACATTATATCAGGTCTTGTAGGACAGACTTCTGCACATGTGTGAAGAGAACACATGCTGTGTCCAAGCATCCCAACAATGTAAGATAGCTCCAGAATTTTGTTATTTTTTATTTACATATATTTTAATCATCCTGCTTTATTCCTGTAGTTAATGTAACCTAATTATAATTTTTGTTTGTCAGTTTTTGTTTTTTGTTTGTCTTGTTACCCTTGTTGGGTATTGGTCTATATATTTTTTTGTCTGGTATTGTACTGTTGTAAAACATTTGAAAAGAATAAAAATGTTTGTCAGATTTAAAAAAGATAGCATAGCTGAAGTTAAAAACCAGTAAACAAACTAATTCCCCCTTTGATTAAAGACTAGATCCTTGTTAGATAAAAGTTTTTCAAAAAGCATCTTATTGCCCTTAAAGCCTCGTTTCCACCAAGCGCTCTGGTTCAGTTGGCCCACGGGGGGGCCACTGGTGAGCCCACTGGTGAGCCCACTGGTGAGCCCACTGGTGAGCCCACTGGTGAGCCCAATGGTGAGCCCACTGGTGAGCCCACTGGTGAGCCCAATGGTGAGCCCACTGGTGAGCCCAATGGTGAGCCCACTGGTGAGCCCAATGGTGAGCCCACTGGTGAGCCCACTGGTGAGCCCACTGGTGAGCCCACTGGTGAGCCCACTGGTGACGCTATTTTCTGAATCCAAAGTAATGCTCCTGAGCCAGTGGTTAAAATGGCCGGGCCAGTGATCTTCATAAAAACCAGTGACCCAGCGGACCAGTGGCAGATTTAAGTTCAGGTCAACTCCTGTTAAAAAAAATATATATATATATATTATGAACCTACAGTTCCTCACAGCAGCTTCACAGAAATACTGACACAGAAGAATACAACATCCAGACCAGAGGGCTGACTGTAACTTTAACTAAAGTGTACTTTCATTTTAAATGTTCGTATGCTAAATGTAGCTGATACCTCCATTCAGACAGCACTCCAGTGGCTGTGTAATTACAGGGTGCTCTGAGTGATTTGAGCTGTAGCGTAGCTGCTCCAGCCCTATCATCACGACTCACTCTTCCAGTTTGTCAGTCCTGAATCTGCTCCGTCTGGCTCGAGTACTTTTCTCTCTCTGGGTGCCTTTTAATTGAAACTTCTCACAGGAAGTAACACGCCTTGCCTGTGATCAGAGCAGACTTCTTTAATAGCTCTCTGAATGAATGAACGTCCTTTAGGAGATGTTAACAGCTAAATGAAATCCATGAAGGGAACACCAGTGATCTCTGTCTCATGAATAGAACAGAACCGCCACCGGCTGTGAATCAACAGAACTCAGACACCAGAGCACAAAGCTACTTGAAAAGCAGACTGAGCTAACGTTAGCATCAACGTCACAAACACATGAAGACAGCAGGGATGCCAAAGTGAAAACATAACAAAGAGGGGAAGCACACACACAGTTATTCTTGAAAATAACTGTTTAACTCCATGCAGACCTCATGACAAGAACCCAATGAAGAACCCAGTAACACCATAACAATGTGACCAGTAGCTTGTAACTCGGGAGCTTGGCTGTAGACAAGTTGTTGGCCTGATTTTCTTTAGCAAAAGGCCACAGCGATATTTCTCTGGTCAGTGATTGACACATGAGCCTCGTACATCTGTCTTCTTGTGATAAGAGAACGACCGAGGTGAAGCTCTCTTTGCTAATGGTTACAGAGACAGAGAGCATCTTCAAGTAATTCTCACATCTTTATACTTTCTTCCAAGCCCATCACATCCTAATCCCAATCTGTGGACTCAACATTAAGGTTGCAAATGTCTCTGAAATAAGAAGAGGAACATTTCTATTATAATTTCCAAAAGCCCAACATTAATCATTAAGTTTGTCTTATTCGAGTTATTCCCCAAAGACGCAGCGTCCGACAGCCTAGCGGTTATGTTGTGATCCCCGTGTACAGAGCCTAGAGTCCTTGATGCAGCATCCATGGGTTCAAATCCGACCTCGGCCATTGGCTGCATGTCGTCCCCCGCTCTCTCCTACCCAATTTCCCATTTCCTGTCTCTCTTCAGCTGTTCTATCCAATAAAAGCAAAAATGGTCCTGAAAATATTTTTAATATCCTCTATGAAAGTCCGTCTATTATACACTTTCATGCACGACCAAGAATGGGATCATCAGGTCATCACATTTGAAAAGAAGGGTCCAGAAAGTTTGTAGAGACTGTCCATGAAAGTTATCAAAACTATGAAATAATTCTCCACAACGAAGCAGAAAACTGACCCATCAAATCAAAGACTAGTCAAAGCTAATCTGGACCAAGAGGAGCAGGGACTCAGAGATTTTAGCTTTGTGCAGAGAGAAAACAGAAACACAGAAAAGTCAATAAAGCTGTTCTGATGGCACCAGCGGTTAGGACACGCCCCATTTACGGAGGCTATAGTCCTCCAAGCACACCAGGGTTCGAGTCCGGCCTGCGGCTCCTTTTCCTACACTGTCCTGTCTAAAGAGGGGCAAAAGCCTTGACTCCTGAACAATAAACTAAAAGCAGAAGATATTTAATGTTCAAACATATAAAAACAGAAAAGCAGCAAAAAAGTCACATTTGAGAGGCTGGAGATTCCCTTCTTAAAGAAACACTTTAGTCTGAGTCATTTCATTAACTTTTGCTTGGGTCAGTCATTTTTAACGCTGCTGAGGTATCCTCACGTAAAGAGACACGTGTCACTTCACCTTTGACCCTCCTTGTTGTGTCCAAGCGTTAACAACAACACAGTTGTTCCTCACTTGCAGCAGGGAATCAATGAATCTCAGCACAGACTTAACCATAAGAAAGAAGCATTAGATGTGATGGTCAGATCAATAAAGACAGTAATCCCCTACAACTCGGATAAATCAATCATCTTTGATTCCATGATTTTAGGAGGGAAAAGCTCAAATTCACCGCTTTGAATCTGTAAAATGTGAGGGCGAGATTTCTTAGGCTTCTCGTACCATGATTGTTTATTTTGAGTTTTGTCTGCTAGCTTGACAACTATAAGAATCCTTTTTATAATCTCTTCGGTCGTCAAGACAAAAATAATGTTGCAGCTTGACTCGGCCGTATCTACGAGCTGAAGCGTCTCAAATCAAACTGAACGGTCTCCATCTCCTTCAAACAAACAAGTCAGACATTGTTTAATGAAATAATCTTATTTCCTGGTTTGGCCGAGCCCTCTCACAGCTGTTTGTGCTTTGTGCGTCGATCAGCTGAACAAAACAAAAACAACAGAGGAGGAAGGAGGTGAGAGACTCTGCCTGGGGCTTTGTCTCCTCTCAAACACTCACACTGACTGTGACTAGGATTTCTATCCAGACTTTACAGTAACTCCTGCACTGTTCTAGTTGAACTCTATAACCGAGAGGTCATGTTGTCATCACACATTTCCTGCAGTAATGACATGCATGTTGTGTTACATGCTTTCAGCTGTCCGGCTAACGCTGAAACAATCTCAACAGCTGTGATGACACATCATTTCTCTAACTCCACCTCTGATTGTTCTCCCCGTTTCAATGTGACTCCCTTCAGACCATTCAGCCAACTGCAGTGTGCCGTCTGTGGCCGGAGCGGATCATATTTCAGCCCTGTGAACGTGCAGCCGCAACAGATGGTAGATCACAGGAGCAGGAGGAGGGGAGGAGGAGGGGAAGAGGAGGGGAGGAAGGGAGGAGGGGAGGATAAAGGAAGAGGAGGAGAATGAGCAGACCACAGCTACAAGTACCAGGAACTTTAAGTCCCAGAAGATTCTTTCAAAAGTAACTAAAAGGTTCCTCCAATCATTTAGTGTTCAAGTTTCAAATATAGATGAGACAAATGAGACTGTCAGAGTTTGCATGAGATATTAATTAAGGAAACATGCTATGTTGAAGTGCTGGCTTCTCTGACAACAATGCAGCAGCCAGTATGTCCTCCTTCTAACTTTAGATTCTGCTCCTGAATGCTCTGGATTTGTTTGGACCAGAGAAGGTAGGCGCTTTTAAGACCCCCCCACACGGCCGTTTTGGACACCCCTCGGTTTGTCAGATATGAGAGCAGTTATCAGGTCAACAGGTGTTGCAGCGATGGAAGCGGTCAAGAGAAGTGGTTCAGATAGAAGTGATTGTACCCGACCTAAAAAGCCTCTGCATGTTTCTAATAAGCTCCACGAGCAGAAACGTGCTCAAACTAGGATCAATATTGGAGATGCTTTTGAAAAATGGAGAGAGGTTAGAACACAGAAAGGTTTACAGACCCATGCAGAGCTGGATAAACACTGAAGCTTCAGAGTCCACCACATGGTGACCTGAGTGAGCATCCACTCTAGAGAGGAGGGGGGGGGGGAGACAGCTCTCTATGATGTTTAGAATTTAGACTACAGTTCTATTTTTAAACACTAGGGGTCAGTTACATATTGCTCCTGGAGATTACTGGTGTTCATTATTATTACTTCTAAAGAGGGTTGCAAGGCCCATCCCCAAAGTCTCTATACTTTCACAAAGTAAGATACCTTGACTGTATGAGATCAACAGTACATCTACATCTCTTTGTCTATTTGATGTTGGTTTTAACCTTTCTGTCATTCACATGAAGACTCTGATAAATGCTGCTCACCTGCTCTTTGCAATAAAATCATAATGCAGGTTGAGATCAAGATGCAACTTTACAATTTTATTGAGGAAAATCAAAAGAGTTGACGTAAAGCCAGGGAGGAACAGCAAGAGTCAATGTGCTGTCAGAAAGCAGAGGTGCAGGTTTGAGTGTGTGTGGAAAAGAGAACTAAAGGGGGAAGCTTTTCTGTGGGAAAAACTTCACTGACGACCTCCAAAAGTCCCGAATCCCTGGAGAAAGTTCCTGCGGTGGTAACGCAACTCAGACACAATTATATCCTGAGAACGAGATACTTTTCTTTTGGTTCTCACCAGCCTGTGATTTCCCTGTTCCTCATTAAAATAAAATTTAAAAAAACATGACTTGAACAAATGCCAGATACTTTTAAAATAAAATCCAGAGCTCTGGGATGTCACGTGCTGAAAATGAAAAATCTGGGACAGGGACTTCCTTGTACTGTTCAATGAAGTGTGGTTTATTCAGACCCCCTCCCTTTGGAGTGAGCTAGGAGATATTTAAGGTATCTGTTGCTGGATGTGCTTCTTTGTTTACATGCTGTTCATTACTTTGGAAAGTAGTAAAATGTGTGCAGCACTTTGAGTGCGAGGATAATTTCCCCAAGGGGACAATAAAGTGTATGTATCATAGTGTTTTTAAAAGAGGACGGGAAATGGAACAAAAGTTAGACACCCTCTGATTCCCACCCTGATAAAATGTATTTCTTGTCACATCCTGGAAACAAAACCTATATGTCTTAGTTCTGTATCAAGTCATCTAAACTAATAAAGACTAAAATTACAAAAACACATTTTCTTTGTAAAGTCAACACCTCAGGTTCCTGATAAGTCAGAACAAAGTGAAAATAATAGAATAAAGAGTGTTCATTAATCACCTCCTGCATGCGGCGCTTGGCCCTCTCCAGAGCGTCCTCGTAGCCCTTCTGCCTCAGCTCACTCAGACTCTCGTAGTACTCCTCCGTGTCGTCCGCTTCACTGAAAAGCACCTGCGAGAGGATCTTCCAGCCGCAGGTGTCCAGGGCATGACCCAGGTACACCTGCAGCTGGTAGCACAGGGCGTCCGTCTCCCGCTGCGAGACCCCGGCTGCGCCGAAAAGCACCGTCCACATGCCGGACGTGTCCTCCGGGAAGGAGGGCAAACACGGCTCCAGGTCGGAGTTCACCGCGCACAGCTGGAGGTGGACAGCCCGCAGGTCCTGGAAGGAGAACAACCCGGCCCAGCTGAAGTCCTCATGGACGGTGCTGCTGTCACTCTCTCCCGGGTCTGAATCCTCCTGGGATTGCGTGACATCCACCGGATCCAGGATCTCCATATCCATTTGTTTAGGCGTCACAATATCCCAGGAGCCGACACAGTCTGAAGTGTTTGAAGTGCACACTTTGACAGCCTTTGTTGAGGGTTTTCCTTTGGGGACAGAGTGTGGTCTAACTTTACCCGCTTGACACACTTCATCTGTCTTTGTTTTCACGGGACTTTTTGTGCGTTTTTCCGCCGCGGCAGGAAGCAGTTCAGCGGCTGTTGGTGTTGTTGTTGTTGTTGTTGTTGTTGTTGTGGGGACGTCGAGGTCCAGCAAAGTGCTCCGTCTCTGCACGGTTCTGTTGTGGCAGGTTATGGCGAACTTTCCCTCGATGTCGTTCCAGGCCACGATGAAGACGAATTTATGCCTCTCCTTTTCGTCGAAGACTTTCGGTCGGACAGAGACCCACTCGGACTCTAAGTTATCCTCCATTGTGAAGGACATCTCATCCAGCCAGTAAAAGCAAACACGGAAAGATTAAAAAACAAAAACAAAGAGAGGAGCCCTCGGTGCTAAATGCTACCACTAGCGCAGATTAGTTAGCATTAAACGTTGGCGTGAAAAGTGAGATTTAACGTAACCGACGCAGCTAACAAAGGCTGCCGAGCTTTGTTTACTCTCCTCGGCTTACCGTCGTCGATTTTAGATCCGAACATGGAGCCTTTTCAGACCGTCAAAACTCGCTCGGACACCGCGGGGGTCAGTCGGCGTCACACGGGAGCAGATAACGTCCGTTGTCATGGCAGCTGTCCGTTATTCCCCGCGCGGTGATAATAACCGTTGACTGTGTCGCTCTTTGTCCGTTCAGCAGACGATACGTGTGCGCTTCTGTTTACAAGCATTCAAGGTGCGTGTTTGTCAAATCCGGGGAGGGATTTAACCCGACGTCCCCCCCTCAATGGTGCGTTCAGGCCCCAGGATAAGAATAGGAAATAGAACATTTGTACTGTTTATTTTTTTAGAAACAGATTTTTATATATATAATATATATATATATATATATATATATATATATATATATATATATATATATATATATATATATATATATATATATTACTTCTCTCACACATAGGCCTACGACGGAGGATTAGTTATGTTAACATTTTTTATTTTTTTTTTAATTTACGAGATTAAAGTCGTAAATTTACAACTTTATTCTCGAAATTAAAAAAATATAATAATAATAAATTAACGTGGCCCTAATCCTCCGTCGTATAGGCCCGAAGAACAGGACCTGTGGACATGCACTAATGGAGAGATGTCAGAGTGGGGCTGCTACACACTGATACACAGGTTGGGGGTTAGGTGCCTTGCTCAGGGGCAGCTCTCCACCTAGGAAATATAGAAATAATTATTAATAATATTACATTTGATTTAAATTAACACTCTGCCCCGGCACAAAACAGCAAACAGGATCCAACACTCAAGTACTTGTAGTCCTCTACAATGTCCATACCACACCCTGTGGAGGAAAAACAGGGGTCATCTGCACCCTTTTCTTCCTCAGATCCACAACAAGTTCCTTGGTCTTTGTCACGGAAAGCAGGAGATGACTATTCACATGGGGCTTTTACAGTTTTTCACAATTGCTAAAACACTAAATCCCATGTTCTTAACCAAATGGTTGGTGTCCTAATCCCATTTATTGAGTGAATCACTCCTATGGCAAAACCTTAGTTTTATAGGATAGTACTCTATACCGACGTCCAGATGGGAGGAGCTGAAATAGGGTTAGTCATCTGTCATCTTTTAAAACAGAGCCGGATATCCTCTGTAACTGTCTGCTGTAGCCTGCAGGGATTTCGGGTTGAGCTGGGACTTTCCAATCAGCCTACAGGACCATTTCACAGTTTGGTCCAGTCGGCTGATTGGAGAGTCCTTTTTGGGAATTAAAAACCTCTATACAATTCCCCTCACAGAATAAAATGAGAGCTGATTTATTACAAGTTATAGCAGTGTCTGCATGGAGGTTGTGTGAATATATACTGAGTATGTGAATACTTTAAGATGCATTTGTGCAGATGTTATTATTTGAGGATTTGTTATTATTAAGAATATACAAATTATAATCTCAAAGAATACAAGATTTAAATGTATGGCCGCATACATGTTTACTTCCCTTTGTCTGACATCTTTGGAGAAATATTTATCAAACATTCATTGACATGTATCAGGCTGCTGCTCTGAAACAAACAGTGAGGTGTGTACTTTCCCACGTCCCCTGAACGCAGCACAACAGTCCCTTTAAACAAAGGTACAGAAAGAGACACCAAATCAATCATCGTTTCAATATGTTGATGTTCCTAAATTAAACATTTGATCATCTCCTTCCTCTCTCTCTCTCTCTCTCTCTCTCTCTCTCTCTCTCTCTCCTTTCTCTTTGTTCTCTCTTTCTGCTCGTGTCCCTCTCTGGCAGACGTGCACGAGGAGCATAAACATCTGCACGTGGGTAAATCCATGACGCAATCACGCAGAGAACGTCAAGAACAAGACGGCTAAATGCTGTACGGCAGTCCCACTGGGACAAAAGACATCACAGTCAAAACAAACGAATACAGAAATGTTTGCTTCAAACTGTCTGGTTCAATCAAAAAGAGAAAAAGTGCATTTAATAAATAAATAAATAAATAAATATGTAAAAGTATACTCAGTCCTCTTTCTGTGTATTGAACAATCTTGTAGTTATTTTTTAATTATGTTTTGTATTTTGATGTCTGAGGTTAAATAGAACTTTTTAATACATATTTTCAAAGTAAAAGCATCACCTTTACATCTCTATAGGCACAGAAAATGTACATAAAGGTTCAGAAAATGTATCAAAACTGTAGAATCAGCATTTTGAAAAGCTCCACAGACTTTTTATTTACTCAAATGTGAGTGTTATACAACATCTGTGACATGTGAGGCCATAATCGGATATTAGACATTTAGACCTGAGCCTTTCCTCCGCAATAGGAGAAGAAACCATGCAGCCATAAGAGGTTAAAACGTGCACAATCAAATAGAAACACACCGGGGAAATGTTGGTGTTTAAATAATGGACTTGTTTTCTGCAGATCCCAGGAAGTCCCAAAAAGTGATTTTTATTTTCTTTGTACGCAGAATATAACTGTTCACACAAGTTAGATGATTACTTGTTTGAACAGCGTGCACACAAATGATCATCTTCCCTGTGTGCACATGTTCATATATTGTGCACACAAGATGATTATCTTTTTCTCATCTAAGTTGTGCCCACACAATATTTTTCTTTTTTCCTTTTTGGACTTCAGGGGCTCCGTAGTTTCCTGCCTTTGTTTCCAGAGCAAAGGGTCAGGGTATCTTTAGAAGTTGCTGAAAAGGTACATTTGTTGTGTAGGCGGGAGATTCCAGAGATAAAAACAGGAACAAGAATTCACAGTTCAAAGGGGGGGAGCGGTGTTAAAGTTGTGTTCTGGCTGCAGGTTTTAAAAGTGATTCTGCAGCGTTTTGTTCTCCCCATCAGGAGCAACAAACTGAAAGAAGCTGTTCCTATAGAGCACACACACACACACACACACACACACACACACACACACACACACACACACACACACACACACACACACACACACACACACACAAACAAAGATAAACTAGCAGCTTAAGGCACAAGAGAAAATCAATGTTTTAAAACTGCTCTTAAAAGAGATTGTAGTTGAAGTAGCTCAGTCTGTAGGGACCTGGGTTGGGGACCAGAGGGTTGTCGGTTTAAGTCTGGAAAATCGGTCTGATAGCTGCTGGAGGTGTCAGAGCATTGTCGAGGTGCCCTTGAGCAAGTCACCAAACCCGAAGCTGCTTGGGCGCTATTTCATGTGCAACCCCCCCTCACTCTGACATCTCTCCATTAAAGATAATGATAAAGATAAACTTTATTGATCCCCCATGGGGGAAAAATGTATAATTATTAGTTATTATCATTATCATTATTATTATTAGTGCATGTCCAGAAGATCCAGTTTCAGCAAGTTTGTGTATCTCATCCTGTGTGTGTGTAGCATGTCTCATTAACAGAGTGTAAAAGTAATTCCCCCTCGTGGGAGTAATAAAGGAAATCTTCTTTCTGCAGACCTGAGGTCAGCAGGCAGTTTGCACCATGGTGACTAAACACGCCTTCGCCTGACTTTAGGTTAATTCAGCCCTGTACCTGCTGGTCTGAGGGATCTAGATCCGGCTGTAGTCAGCGTGCAGGTCAGAAACATATCCTGGCACCAAACCATTGAATGCTTTGAAGACCAGAAGTTATAAACTGAATTGGATTTCTGCTCTGGATGAAAACATTCATGGAGAATTAAGAGCTCGCCTCACGCTGCTGCGTTGTTTTTTGGACGTTTGGTTGAAAGGTTATTAGAAAATGGTTCAGTGGGTGAAGGTCACACATTAAATCTATTAATAAAAACTCCACCAGTGGGGTTTTTCCCATATCCTCATATCCCCCACAAGAGAATCCCTGCCAACAGTCGACTGAATAAACACAGGAAATCACAAGTCCCCTCGGGCCGTTGCTTCTAAAGGTTGGTGTTACATAACGGTGTCAGACTGCCGACACATTTAAAATGAAATCAACCAATCACTAAAGACCATGCCCTGATCATTTAACTGCATAAATATGAAGTGTATGTCCCTGATGACTGAGGGTAACTACAGCTCACCTGTTGCTATGGCAACATTCCACTGGGTGGCAGCAGAGGATCATTTATTATTATTTTTTAAGATTTGTTTTGGGGCTTTGATTGGAGAGACAGGAAAGTTGATAGAGGCGGAAATTAGGGACAGAGAGATTAGGGAATGACATGTGGAACAGGATTTGAACCCGGGCCGCCTGATTCCAGGACTACAGCCTCTGTACATGGGATGCACGCCTTAACCACTAGGCCACCAGCGCCCCATAGCTCTTTCAAATACAGGTAACAAAGTGCTTCACATCAAGTAAAAAAAAAAAAACTTTAAAAAATAAAATCAAATAAAATCCCAGAGTAAAAGCTTTTTTTGTAAGAGTGTCTATAGTAGAGAAATAAAACAAGGGTCTGACTCTGCAGGTCTGATCTCCTCTGACAGGACGTTAATAAGTCTGGGGTCTCTGACAGTAAAACCCTGTCCCCCTTCAGCCCGGACCTTGAAGGAGCCGGCAGAGCTCAACCAGAGGATCTCAGACTGAGTCCTGCTTCATAGGGGGGTACAAGCTCAGACGTATAGGAAGGGGTCGGCCCATGTCGTGCCTTAAAAGTGATTAAAATACTTTTTAAATCAATCCTAACATCGACAGGAAGTCCGTGAAGGGATGCTACAATCAGGGGGATTTGAGTACATGGATTGGTTCTCGTTAAAAGCCGGGTCTGGACTATTTGAAGGCAGTGGATTGATCTTTGACAGAGACAGGAGTTTTATGATTTTGACCAAATCTGGCACTTGAGTGAAGGAGATTAAATAATGATACCGATATGAAGCTTAGTCCCTTAATCACTTCTGACACATTTAACTAAACACTAGAGGAGCACTGATAGCCAAGCGGTTATGTTGTGTGCCCCATGTACGTGTGAGGCTGAAGTCCTCAATGAAGCAGTATTGCGTTTGAACCCTACTGCAACACTTTGCTGCATGTCATGCCCCCTCTCTCCTCTAATCAAGTTAGAAAGAAAAAAAAAAAACTAGATATGATGCACAAATACTCAAAACACTACGGCTCCAAAAGATGTATGCATTTGCTATATAACATCGTATGTGGTGGGTTTTTTTTTTACGACTCAGTACCTTAATTAGTGACGTTTGTGCCACCAGAGCCCCCTGACTACTTTCTCTACAGGACAATAAAAAAATAAATAAATGCACCCAGTCGCTCATTTTGTTTAATTTCTTTATTGTTTCACATCATTGATTTTTTTTTTTTTGTCAAGACAACAGCAGACAGATGTGGAGTGTTAAGGCTCGTGTGCATTCACAGCTGTTCTCTTAAAGTCACAGTAACACGCTAAATCAGACAGTTATTGTTATCAAGTCTGGAAAGCTAACATGAAGCATGAGCGAGGAATAAATGGTCCTAAAGAGAGAGAGGAAGAAAGTTCAGCATGTTGATCTTTATTTGGTATGTAAAAGTGGACGAGTGCGAGCAGACGCCGTCCCCCTCCCGAGGCTTCTCTCAAGGCTCATTGGCCTTTGTTGGCCTTATCGAAGAGAGCCTTCAGCTGCTCCTGGGAGGTGGCCTCCTTCTGCTGCATCAGGTCTGCGTGGCCTTTGGTGACACCCCAGCTGTCAGGCATGGACATGGAGGGGCAGAGAGGACGGCCGGAGGCGGGCTTCAGCTTCTCCCAGTAGTCACGACGAGCTCTACAGAGAAAAACAGTTAGATAAAATAAAATACAGACTTCTCCTTCAAAATAAAATACAGTCTTCTCCTAAAGTGAAGCTGCTCCATTGTCCCTTCTGGGCCTCCGTACATGTGTGCTGGTGACTGTGTCTGCAGAGACTCTGTCCTCTGACTGGATTTTACTGCTCTGCTTTGTTCTGGTTGACTCGGGACATTTCTGGAGCAGAGCTGGTGTGTTTCCTCCAGCCAATGAGAGCGCAGCAGGTGAGTTTAGGAGTGGATACAGTTCAGTGATTGGACGAGATTCAAAGCGGTGAATATGACGGACGAGGACGTAGCAGCAAAGAAGAGAAAATATAATGAGAGTGAGGAGAAACACCAAGTGGATAAAGATCGTTCTGAGACGAGGGTGAACCTTGTGTTTGACGTGAAGTTGATCTACTTCCTGTTGGACAGGAAGGTGACAAACACTGGCGGTTAGCTTGTGCTAGCATGCGTTAGCTTACAGTGTAGGTACAAGTAGTAAATGGCCTGCAGGGGGCGGGGCTTCTGAGGGAGATGAGCCCATGAGGAGGAGGGGCCTAGTTTGAATGTTTGTGATCCTTTTTTTTTTCTTAACATTTCTAAATATTTGTGAGGAGTCATTCATATAGAAATGACAAAATATATTTGTGATTCCATCCTCGTGTATTCATGAATATTGAGACCCGTCAAACTCCATGAAGAACAGCTGCTTCATTATTTTGAAAATTTTAAGTAAAAAGAAAAAAAAAAAAGAGAAGAGAACTCTTTACCTGGCTCTGACCCAAGGCTTGGTGTGCATCTCCAGGCCGCTGCCCCAGTTGCCGTGCTTGTCGGATCCCGCAGGCAGGAAGCCCCTCTCGGGCGCCAGCTCCTCGGCCAGAGCGCGCACATGATAGGGTTCGAACCCACAGCAGCCTCCGATGTACCGAATGCCGGCGTCGTACGCGTCCCGGGCGTATTTCTGCATGTCCCACCTGGTCAGGATCCTCGGCTCCAGACCTGCAGAAAAGAACACTGATCAGCACACGCATTCAGGTTTTACAGTTTTCAGTTTTAAATGTGTGGACGTACTGAAGGGGAACTCGGGCAGGTCGATGAAGCCCTGGCAGTTGCAGTCAGGAGTGTGGTAAGCAAGCGGTTGGCACATGTAGTGAGCCTTCAGCCCGGCTTTCTCCACCCCCTCCTTCATCATCTTCACCGTCTTCACAGAGGTGTCGGGGTCGAAGTGGCAGTTCACGCCCACAATCTGAGCTCCTGGAAAGAGGGAACACAAAAAACTTGAGGCAACATGAACAAGAGGTGAAACTCATTTTTTAAACAGATTTCTCTAAAAGAAAAAGATCACTGATTTAGCAGAACCCACAAGAACTACAAATATTCATCCATGCTTAAGATTCAAAAAGTGCTGAAGGCATCACTAGCAAACTGTTGGACACCGTTGGGAAAAAGAAGAAAACTTCAATCCACATCCACTCAGAACCAGAAGTCATAATTTAGTGGTTAGTGTGGAGACGGGTTGACGACTACATTCAAGTTTTTAAGTCTCGTCCAGATCTTACAATTTTTTGGGCAATAAAAACTCTCATTACGTTGTGTGTTTCTTATTTAACAAACTAAAGTAAGCAGTATATTTTGATGTCTGTGACAGTCTATTCCTTCCACTGGAGGGCACCAAAGACACATTTTGTCATCCTGCATAAAGGGGGTGATGCTAGATCCAAATTAAAAATCTCAATAAATCAAGTAGATCATTTAGATCTAACCTGAAGAGATTGTCATTAAAGGAGCAGTATGTAACTTTGACACTTAGTGTTTAAAATGGGTACTGCAGTCTAAAGTCTAAACATCATAGAGAGCTGTCTCCCTCCTCTCTAGAGTGGATGCTCACTCAGGTCACCATGTGGTGGACTCTGAAGCTTCAGTGTTTATCCAGCTCTGCATGGGTCTGTAAACCTTTCTGTGTTCTAACCTCTCTCCATTTTTCAAAAGCATCTCCAATATTGATCCTAGTTTGAGCACGTTTCTGCTCGTGGAGCTTATTAGAAACATGCAGAGGCTTTTTAGGTCGGGTACAATCAGTTGTAAATATTTCTTGCATCTTCCCATTACTGGTCAGCTGTTGAAAATCTTCTGTGCTGCTGACTTTTAGCCAGATGTAGCTCATCAACTAGAATCTGAGAGGAAGTATAACAGATGATTGCTGTGCCTGTATTCCTGCCAAATGTTGGAAATGATTAAACTCGTTCTTTTTATTTACAGTCAGACATTTGATGCCCCGAGACGGAGAGGTCAGAATAATGTTTAACCTGATGTCATGAACACCACAGGATGTTAGTCTGAGGCTTTAACCCTCTGTCTGTCCTGCAGTGTACTCAAGCTGTTCATCACCTGAACCACACACACACTCACCAGCTTTGACAAGTCTGGCAGCACAGTCTCCAGGGCTGACCCCGTTCAGGTCTCCTTCAGGTCCGATGCACAGTGTTGCAGCCACGGGCTTCCCGGTGGTCTTCAGGACCTGGACCGCCCACTCTGCCTCCTCCACGTGCTCAAAGTACTGAAGACACAAACAAACATGTTAAAGTGAAGAAAAATAATCCAACTCCTCTTCATCTAGATTCTTATTGTTGGGTTCTTCTGCCGTCTCATGAACACTCATGCCATCTCCAAACTCTGTTTTTCCTCCTCAGCGTGTCAAAACAGTCTCCCTTTGCATCAAAATAAATTAGCATAAAGTGATTTGTGCGCTCCAGAACTTTCTCTGGATCCTGTCTGAGAAACGAGTCTACTGAATTATATTTAAGTCCTTCTCTTTGAGCACAGACCTCCATTCGTGCAAGAGTTTGCTTCTACTTAGTCGAATCCTCGTTTAGAAAAAGGGCATCATTTTTATTACTACCTGGGGCGCCAGGTATCAAATCTGCAGAGGCTGGGGTCCTCAGGGTGGGCAGCCAGCCTTTTGTATCTTCAGTTTGATTTCTATACATTTTTCATAATAACCTTTAAATGGACTGCCTCAATGCTTTAATGTGAAATAAGAAATCCCTTCAAAAAAGTTTGGAAACATCATTTCAGTTACTTATGTCACCCCCTTATTACTAATTGGTGTTGTATTTTATATCGTTGGAAAGCCTGATTAGTCACCTTTACAACAAGGTATAACTTGTAAGGATCGTGCAACACAGCTAAACATGAGGGTAGCACTCTTAACAAAAAAAAGAAAAGAAAAAAAGTGCCAAAATCCCCTGCAGTGTTCTTCTGATCAAAACAATGTCTCCAAACTTTGAGGAGTTTAGATAATTTTGCCTTGCTGATGGTGCTCGTTCTGCTGCCCCTAAGTGGGGAAAAAGAAAGAAAAAAAAAAGCATTTCAGCTTTCAAACGATTCCAGGTGCTGTCAAATTAGTCGGACTCAACCGCTCGTTAAGCTTCTGAACACAGGAGTTTCATGTTCTCTCTACAAACTCCACGAGGCGTCTTCACTCTGAACATGTTCTGAGTTTGAGCCAATCAGGAGACTACGACGTGTGAACTTCATGACACAATATAACAAGTGCCTGTTTCAACAACCACGTCAATTGATTTACAGCTTGTAAACATTTTAAAACAGAACTATATTCCCCCGTTGGATTTTAAACATGCTGCAAAAGGACCAGTGTTCTCCAAGTCATATGGAGTATTTAACTTTAACGTTTAAAGTGGCTCTTTAGCCCAAAATGAAAACAAATTCTGCTCAGACATTTTCAACACCATCTCATGCATGAAAAGGAAGTTGATCCAGACTGTCACTGCAACTTTTGGAGTTGTTCTTAGAGATATATCTAAACATCAAATCAGATTGCATTCTCAACATTGTTAGCCTGCAGCCTTGTTCTACTCCTACATTTCACTCATGCTGGATTCAAGAGGTTATGTCAGATCTTAAACTGAAAAACACAAGTCAGATGCACTGGCCAGGGCTCATTGAAGAGATTTATAAAAATAAAAACCTTGCTAGACTATCATGATGCCCAGACTTTAGATCAGTAGCCCTCCTGCCCTTTCTTGCTGATTGCTGCAATCACAGAGAGGTATTGCATATGCAGAGAATCGTATGTCAGAAATGCATACCATTACATTCAAGTGCAGCATACGCACAGCAAAGCTCTTCTGGGACTTCAGGACTTTTGATTTCAACCAGTTAGGCTCATGCTTTGGATTTACCATGACCTGAGAACCTTTAAGTGAATCTGAATGACACATTTTGTCTTTGTGTGTTACAATTTAAGGTGCAGTTCTTTTATTGGTCACATTACAGGGAATCTGCACTGTTTTGGGGGCTTTACCTGAGCAAATCTTAAAAACAGGACCGCTCAGATGTTTCCCCACATGAGAAACTGAGCAGCAGCTTTGAAATAAGAGGAACAATTATGCTTTTTTATAAGTACCTCTGCAATCAGGAAGTCCACATTTTTCTTGACGAAGACATCCAGCTGCTTCTTGAAGGTGGCCTTGACGTCGTCCTGGCTCTTGCAGCTGAGGTATGAGGGGGTCTGAGAGACTCCGCCGGCCACCAGAGCATCACCCTCATCGGCCACCTCTCTGGCCAGGTCACAGGCCGCTTCGTTTATCTGCTGACCCTGCATGGGGGGAAAAAAGACGAAACAGAGAAACTCATCAGTGTGAATAAAGAGGGTTCAAGCCTCCACACTTCTCCCCTGCAGAAAGCTGGATTCATGCCATCTCTGGTGCCAAGATGCCATCTCTATAACATGAGGCCTGAGAGCAGCTGCAGTTACACACTTTAACACACACACACAGCTTAACTCTACTCACAGTGAAGGTCTGAGTGTGGCCTCTGTTCTCCAGTTTATCATCGCTAGCGTAGAAAGTGAATGTCTGCATGACATTGGAGCCAGCTCTCAGGAACTCTCTGTGCAGCTGCCGCACTGAAACAACACGGTTCAGATTTTATCTTTTTTAAATTAGTACTCCCGACTGGATCGACAGGTTTGAGCACCGCATGGCTGGAAACAAAGTATGGAGAAAGTACCTGCTTCAGGGTGCTCGGCTGCAGCCTCAGGTGTCCACGGTCCTGCCTTCACGTAGCCTCTCTTTTCAAGGGCGAAGACAAAGCCTCCGTCCCCGATGACGACTTCTCCTGCATCCAGACGCTCCAGAATACCCTAAACGAGATTTAAAGGTGCGCGGAAGTTTGAAACATTTAACTTTAAGCCATTGAGAGTGCGCAAAACTACTTCCTACCAGAGATCATGGTGCTGTGCCTGCAAAACTTGAAACCATGCATTAAAGTTTAAACCTGACAATTCAGGCAGCTGTAACGTGATTGTTCGCGTAATTCACCTTCTTTGCTCCAGCTGGTGCCATGATGATGATGATGATGATGATGATGATGATTGTTGCAGCAGTGACCGGTCCTCTCCTCTCAGCTGCAGCGTCTCTCTGAGTCTGGAAAGGGCTTTCTGCAGGCATCCATGCTTCATTTATAATCCGGGAGAGGGGTGCGGTGCTTCTGATGTCACTCCAAGAACCGCCTGCCCACTAAAGCAGGCCATCTTTTCTTTTTTCTTTTTTATCACTCCCCCCCCTTTGGCAAGTTTGCAAAAAAGAAAACTTATTGTTCCTGCAAAACCCGCTCCAGCAGCACCTCTGATACTGTTAGTCGTGACATTTTGAGTAAGTCTGTGAGAGGATTCAGAGTTTTAGAGAGTAAGAACAGGATCATTATCAGGATCAGAACCAGAATCAGAATCAGAATCAGGATCAGAATCAGAATCAGAATCAGAATCAGAATCTGGGTTTATTGCCAAGTACATTTACACATAAAGGAATTTGACTTGGTGTATTGGTGCTAAACAATTAACAAGGAAATAAAGCAGAACTAACAACAACTTAAATAATACAGAATAAGAAGATATTACAATATATAAAATACAATTTAAAAATGTCAAATATAAAAAATAAAAAACACAATGTTGGAGCCATGGATGGATATAATTGTGTTTGTAGTATTTATTGAAGGTTAAGGTAGTTTGTTATATATTGGTGTTTTATATCATATTATTATATCATTTATTAGGATTGTGTTGAGTGAGGGGATGTCGGGTCACATGGGTATGGGCGGAGATGTGTTGATTTAACTCACCTGTTCACCTTTTGTTCTCAGTGGAAGAGAGGGGGTGAGCTGGGTTGCTGTATTTTTTGTTGACCGCTATTGTTTCTAGCTCACTGTGATTATGAGTTAATGCACGTTATTATAAGTTAAGTTGATTATCTTTTTTACGTTAATAAAAAAGTCAAACTTATTTTTACGTATCACAGTATTCTTTTGAAAGCGCGTCAGATATATATTAGGCCCAACCTCAGCCTCTCTGCGGCTTCATCTTCAGGAAAGCTGCTATACACAAGTTAGAGAGTTTTGAGAGTTTGACTTAAGCAGCCTTTAAAAAAAAACATGCATGCTGCAGAAGTTTGAATGAGTTTGAAGAGATTTTATGTGAGTTTTTTGGACACCTAAAACCTTCTCATGCTTGATGATGCAGATTTTTATTTTTATTGTTTTTAAAGATATTTTTTGGGCCTTTTTGCCTTAATTGGAAAGTAGATTCAAGATTCAAGATTCAAAAAACTTTATTGTCTATCACATTGTGACAGAAAATGACCTTTTGTTGAGGCTCAGTAACATGAAAACATACAAACATTCACACTAACACTCACATCAGGTCATAAATAGCTAAAAGTGCCCTAAACAGGTAAAAACACACGCACAGCATTTAAAAAACATTGCTTATCTAGCCTTGTTTAAAATGCGTATTGCAGTGGGAATAAAAGAGTTTCTGTAAGAGTGGTACTCTGAAACGACTGCCTGAGGGGGAGCAGCTGAGAGGAGTGAAGGGGGTGTGGAGGGTCCTGAGTGATGCAGACTGCTTTCTTTGTAAAGTTCTGATAGTTGGATCTGGGTGGAGCCGGTGATTTTTGTTGCATGTTTAATGATACCAGTTAGTTTTTTCTTGCATTTTTCGGTAAGAACGTCGTACCAGGATGTAATGTTAAATGTGAGGACTGATTCAGTGAGTGACCGGTATACTGTTGTTAAAATGTCCTGTTTGACGTTAAAACTTTACAGCTGAAGAGAGAGAGAGGAAATGTTGGGAGGAGAGATTGGGACATGCAGCAAAGGGCGGAGGATGGATTTGAACCCTTGGCCGCTGCCATGAGGTCTATTGCCTCTACACATGGGGCAGACAACATATCCTCTAGGCTTCTGGCACCCCGCTTGGTGATGCAGGCGTGGACAAATTAGAAACTAGCAGCCATATTTAGCTTGAAATGACTTTACATCCAGCAATTCACATAATAACAGAATCACTGTCTCAACATTGTGCATTACATTTCATTTGTTTATTTAACAGGGACACATGCAATGAGCATTGCTTCATATGTTAAATATAAAGTAGATGCAACACAACCTCTGGTGCTGAAAAACGAAGCCGTGCAAATTCCTGCAGTTCTTCGAGTGTCCACTAGAGGCTGGCTGCAGGAGCCCCAGAAGTCACATACACACCCATTCAAAAAAGCCTGTTTTTACAGCAGAGATGAACATGTTTACAGCCTGGTTCAAAAAGTCTAATATGTGTATCTCTGTCTACAAACCCCCCCAATGATGAGAAAAGTCCATCCTCTCCGTCTTCTGCCTGCTCCACTTTTCAGAAAATGTGTGCTCAAACAGGCCATTTGGAGATTTTCCCTTCATGACATCACAAAGGGCAGTAGCCCCTCCCCCAGGTGGGTGACACTCCCACAGCTAGGTGTTTGTTCTGCCCTCTGAGTCTGCCTTCTCACCGTAAACAATAGGACATGGAGTGAGAAAGCACCGAGTACACCCAAGCCCTTCCAGAGAGGGGGCGTGGTCAGACACAGCTCATTTACATATTTAAAGGTACAGACACAGAAACAGCCTGTTCTGAGCAGGGCTGAAATAGAGGGGTTTATAGACATGATCAAATACAGGATCAGAGTGGATTTAGAACAAGAAACTTCACACACATGTTTTGAGGAGCTCTGACACTTATTTAAACTGAAGAAGAGGAGGAGGATATGTGACCTTTAAGGAGGGAAACAATAATAAAAAATAATAATCAACAGAGGTAAAACGTACATTATGGCTCCTAAAGTTTAATTAAAAACCCAACAGCTGATGTGACAAATGACCTCAGTTGATCGAACAGCTTCTCTATTTAAATAAATTGTCAAAAAGCCCCCAACATAATCATAAAAGGATGTAAACGTGGCCGCTGAGGGAATAACTAAACCTTAGCGTGGGGAAACACATCATTATCTCACCTTTACTTTGACCCTCACAACTTCCCCTTCATAACCTGGACATGTCAGTGACCTCTGCAGGCGTTGTCATTCCTCTCATGTCCACCAGAGTTTCCCATTTATTCACCTCACCTTGAACGTTTCCTCCCAGCACACCTGTCCTTTGATTACTCCCCTGTCAGACCTGCATGGTTTATATCTGAACTCTGAGGAGAATCAGATCTTTATTTTTTTAGGTTATTTACCTGAGTAGAAAAAAATGTCTGCACACCTGGATGTGTGACAGCCAGGTGCGTTTCCCAAGCAGTTGCATGCCTTGCCTATTGGCAGGCAGCACCTCTGGGTCTTGTCTTGGTCCCGGTTACTGTGGTCTTGACAACAACACTACCTGATACCTGGAAGAGTTTTCTTTTTGGAAATGTAAACAAAGAGTCCAGTTTGTTGCAGCCTCACCAGAGAGAGTGGAAACTGAAATACTCCACATTTCTGTTGTGTAACTTTAAACACTTATACTAACTATTACTCGCTCTAATTCTCTAATTCTGAGTATTGTCCAAACAACTGTTTACATCAAGGCAGACATAAGATGGATCAATAGAGATCGCTCTTTTTCTTCCAATAAAACATGTTTTTTGGACTCGTATATCTCCTTGTTGTTGTTGCCCACACAAAGCTCACTAACCCAGCATGCATGTGTTTCAGTGTTTGTATAAACCGGCTGTGAAGATAAACATCCAGTTCAAACCTGTCGCAGCTGTTCCTGGTAGCTCAGAGTCTGTTTTGCAATAAATGGCTCAAGGACCACTCAGAGATAAACGTTTTGCACAGACTGGATCTATCAGAGGCTTTTTTTGTACACATGTTATGTGATCCAGTCTGAAAAACTAGGCAGATGTGCAGCTGTCGTATTACTAACATGCACTGCTATGAGCTCTTTAATAAAATACTGTTAATGCATGTCACATAAATAAACAGAATATTATAGTTTTGCAGGTGTTTAGACATGTTACTGGTGGTGTCAACAGTCCAAACTCAAATATTTAATGCTATTTGGTTCAGAGATCCCGTGCAGGAGTTTGGTGCTCATGGCTTCACTTCACAGGCAGCTTTTTTCTTACCACTGTAACTTTTGCTGCTTTGCTAAAGTGCTCATGATGGATAGGCCGGATCTTTGTAACATAACAATGAGTAAGGTCTTTTACCTGCTTTATGTAACATAACAATGAGTAAGGTCTTTTACCTGCTTTTTGTATCATAACAATGAGTAAGGTCTTTTACCTGCTTTATGTAACATAACAATGAGTAAGGTCTTTTACCTGCTTTTTGTAACATAACAATGAGTAAGGTCTTTTACCTGCTTTTTATAAAGTGTCTCGAGATAACACTTGTTATGAGTTGACGCTATACAAATAAAAATTGATTGATTGATTGACTCCCAGGGGGGAGGCAGCATGAGTCTGCTCATGTTTTTATCACACACTGTACGGGGGGTGAATTTTATAGAACTTTGGGTTTGATCTGTTGGAGATTAAGAGTTAGGCTATTCTTCACGAGAATAATATAGGCGACTTACTATTGACTGGGACCTCACACAACCACACAACACACAACTATCCTTTTAATAGTCTTGCTTGAGGTAAACATAATAAACATTTCTTGGATTACAGGAAGAAACACGATCGAGAACTCACAAAAAAACCCTGCACCATTAGCTTAGCTTTTATTAGCTAACTTTAGCATGCTAACCAACCAAGATAATCGAGATAGACGCAAATGAACACTTGTTGGATTACAGAAAGAAACATGACAAATGTTTTAATGTATGTTCTTTAAATTAAACTCAACAAAAAAATTGCACATTTAGCTTAGCTCTAATTAGCTAACTTTAGTATGCTAACCAACCAAAGTGATAAAGCTGTAGGCCAGGGGTGGGCAACTGGTGGCCTGGGGGCCACATGTGGCCTCCATCAACCCTCAACGTGGCCCTCAGGTGAATTTTTACATATCAATTAATTGGAACCATGAAGAAAACATGACAAAATCAGAAATATGTCCATAATAATATTTGATCACTGGTATATGTTGAGTTAAATTTGAGACATAATTGACTGTAATCTCACTCTGGCAGTGAGAAGTAAATGAATGTGGCCCTTGCTGTGACCAAC